TCTCCGAAAACTTAGATTCACCGTCTGTCCGGGGATGCGTTGTTCGTCACAAGTGCGGCAGATGTCATGGACGGCAAAGCATGCGCATTGCTCAACTTATTGCGGAAGTGATATGCCCTGCAATATTGTTTTTATGCTGTGGCCCTAGTGATGACACCCCAAACTACGTAAAATCCATGCCCCTGGAAAACCTGGAGAATACAATGTGGTTAGCCATCAGCCTTACTGGAATCATAGATCCGGTTTTCTGTAGGGGGGTGGTGGCCGCCAACGGCCAGATCTAAAGAGAATAGGGCATCAAAGTGAAAACGATACCGTTTTTATGCGAAATTTCGTGAGCAAGATTATGCGGTCTGGCCAGATTTGGCAACGGTCCATTAGGTAGCTACAACACCTGCCGCACTCGAGGAGCTGGTCGAACTGTACATAAGGAAGGCCGATTATTCCTCTGCTCTACGTCAGTGGTGCGTCAGCTAAAGGGTCCGTGGGTATTGTAAATCAAGAGGTGTACAGTGGAGTGGTTGGCTTCATTAGATTATCAGCTGATCGCCTGCACCCGATATGGGTATTCAGGGTATTAGGGTTATCAGATGGAACTTATGGGTCATCATGGATCAGGAACTGCCTCGCAAACTGATCCAGCACCTCCCTGCGCGCTTCCCAAGATGACCGACATGCTATTCAGTGACCTGTTTACTAAAAGCGCAAGCTAATGTACGATTTCAGCTGCAAATTGATATCATGTCGTGTCTTTCTCTCAATTCTATAAGAATGTATATCAGTTTCAGTTTTGTCCAGATTTCCAGTAATCACCCTTTAACACAAAATGATCAATTATCCAGCTTTCAGTCTTTACCCTTTCAATTTCAATGCGGCTGGAGTGTCGTTACGCATTCCAAAAACCTCAGGAAAACTGTTACTGCGGCCACTGCAAATGCCGGATTTCCCTAATCTCGCCGCTGCCACTTTCGATGCTGCTGCAGTGTTGGTGGGATGTCAGACTCTGCGGTGACTCCAACACACCCTCGTGGAGCCAGTGGGCATGTTGTTTTGCCGTAGCAGGGCGCCTCGCTGAAAAAGGGCTTCATTTCTCCATTTTTTGAGTCCTCTCACCACACCCGTGGAAACGTCAAAGCAGCGTCAAAACATCAAATGACGTCAAGGTAACAGGCTCGGGCAATGCATTCAATCTTCAGTAGCTCGCCTTGTTTGCCGTAACGAATGAATGAACTGGAGCTGAATAGCTGCTACCGACGGCCGGCTACATCCGGCACGCGCGCAGTTGGTAGTTCTGTTCGTTTTGTTTTGCTTAAAATACTAGGCGGCGACTGAACGTTGACCGGCAGCATTTTGGTGATGCGATAACACGGGATTGCATCCCCTTAGGTAGAATTGGTGTCTAGACGTGAGCGTACATAGAATGACGAACAAATTGGTGGAAAATACTGGTAAAGAATCGGTGCAAGCGACAACTTAAATTTCGCCACGGCCCTGACTACAGTTTCAACGGCAGTCTATTATATTCGGCACCGTTTATCCTAATGCGGGCATTCTCGGCTTGCCCAGCGATTACTGGCGCAACCACGCACCATACAAACGGGTGTTGGCCATGGTACATAGGTCAACGCTTTGAAATTAGATTTGTGCCTCCACCCTCTCTGGCTGCAAGTTATGGACAAGATGTGACAAACTTCGGGCAAAGCCATTTTACCAGGCTCGATATGCACGGCAAGCCGCGCATACGATTGCGCACGTGACACGACGCATTCCCCGTCCGATTGCCAGTTAAGATGCGGCAACTTCTTGCCGCTCTGACACTTGGTTACCAGGATGTGGCGACAATTTTGAAGGGCTGCTCGTCGGCTTTGTCGTAGGTCACATTTTTAGGTCACCCTTGTAAGACCAGTGGATGTAAAACAGCCCTTCTGGCACGTGCCACGCTTGAATCCGATCATTCAGCGATTCGCTGTTCGGCCCGAACATGACGCAACGCAAGATTGGATAGACAAGGAGGCAGGGCAGGGCAGGGCAGGCAGGGCGGGCAGGGCAGGCAGGGCAGGGCAGGGCAGGGCAGGGCAGGGCAGGCAGGGCAGGGCAGGGCAGGACAGGCAGGACAGGACAGGACAGGACAGGGTATTCAACAAATAGCGTACATATGTCAGACTGGCATAATCTTTCGGGCGCGTAATCGCTCTGAGACTGCTACATTGCGGAAGTTCCAAACGTTCAAAGACGGAAAGAATGCGAATATGCTCGACGAAAGGTGTTCAAAACACGTCCTGTGGGTCAGCAGCTGAAAACAAAATTTTGCCGAGATTGCAGCGTCGTTCTGCCAAGAAGCGTCAGTCACGAAATAGTTGTCAGACCAACGTCGGTCAGGAACATTACCACAGGCGGTGTGCCGAGTGATCGTCCATGAATTACCGTATGTGCGAAGGAAAGGGGTGTTGATAAGGCGTAACTGAAGCGAAACGTGCTGGGAGCTTAGCATGTCTGGCGGACTGGCGAGGCAGAAATGATGTCTGTTCCTTTTTGGGAGTCTTCCATCCTGTCCACCCATGGGAGAAGGGTATTGACAGCTGAGCTCCGCCGCGGCGTCTGCCCGCAGCCTGATGAGGAGTGTGCGCCCGTGTGAGGTGGCTGACCGGCGGGCCCGTGTCACCACAGAGTGGTTGGACCTGGTGGAGCGCCTAAGGGATGTGCGGCCCGCAAGGCTCCGGCGCTGGCGCTAGCACGGCCTGCCGCGGTGGGACGCGGACCACCGGCTGCGCCAGGCCGCTGCCTACCTCTACCTGCAAGCGCTGGTCGACGTGACGTGATCGACCCTGCCAGCTGCCGTCGCTGTGAGCCGCCGCGGCGCTTGCCGACTGGCAAGCGCCGGGTCCGCGTCCCGCTCCGCCCACCGTCTCTGGAAGCGCTCTGCTTTCCGCCCGCCGGGATGTAGGCAGGATTTCTGTTATGAGGGAGGAGAGCGTAGCCGTATCCGTGGCACGGGTTGCCAACTGCGCGAGCACTTCCCCGCATGCAATCAGTTTATGCGCGTAAAAGGGTTAGTGATGTTTGACAAAATGGAAGCTGATAATGACGACTTAGGTCATTAGCAATTAAATTTAAACATCTTTATGAACGCAACATTAAATTCCGTTTTCACATCCGGCACACGAGACGTCCAAAGAGAAGGTCTAACTGCGACAATCTACATGGCATTGTCTCCCATCCAGCACTCGCAGTTGGGAAGCCGGGAGCGCGAGGGATATCACCGCTGCATGTATAAGTCACGGACGGTCGCCAGGCCTATAGAAAAACAGTTCTGCTTCCTTGATTTTTGTTTGTTGAGGCATTAGTTGGAAAATGTATTTCATGGTATATGATTATACTTTTTCTATTTAGATGCGCTTGATGCATTTTCCCCGTCAATATTTATGCACGACAGTTGAACCCGTATAAGATAACATACAAATCCCGATCTTCATAATTAAGTGTTGTGCCCCCTCCCCCGCCCGCGCCCACGCACGCACTTTGACTCGCTGCTCTCCGCGTGAGTTGCATTTCACGTCACATAAGGATAATGTGGCCACATAATTAAGTAAGGGTATACACTCGTGAGTATTTATTGCCAAAGTCATCACAGTTATGGGGGAGGCCATGATGTGTGGTAGTCGGGTGCTGTGCGTCGGCAGACGGCCGTGCGGCCCTGCCGGCAGGTGGATGGATGTGCTGAGTGTGGTTACGTCGGCTTGTCGGACCGGACACTGTCGCGAAGGTCGAACCGAGCCGGCCTGGCTCTATATGGTGCTGACGTGCGCGGATGCCGCCGGTTGGGTTCCGAGCGGCTGGAGCCCGACCAGGAGCAAGTGCTGCAGGAAATGGTGGTGAGAACCGGCCCCCGGCCCGAGCACCACAGACTGCCGTCCCAGAGCGCTGCGCGCTTTCGTCAGCTCTGGCCGATGCGGATTGAGCAGAAGGTGGCGGCCCTAGTGGATCCAAGACCGGAGAGTTGAGCCCAAGAGCCGGCTGAGGGGGGGGGGGGGGCAGACACCCTGTATTCCGACGCTGGCAAAATCTTAATTTAATGTCTGACATTGCAGAGAAAACAGAATCCCGTTGGCTCCCGTCCGTCCGTACTGTTGTGTCAGTTGGTTAGAGCACCCGCCTTCCGATCCATCCCACCCGTGGCAGAGTAGGTTGGAGTCGCTTAGGCTGTTACTCGCTATTTGCGCTCGACAGGCATCGCTTGCGGGCCGGTGGCAGCGGCCGTGCTAAAGGTTCAAGATGACGTCAGAGAGCAGGGACGGATCATGCCGAGCATTGTGGCACGTTAAACTTTCGCCACCAAATTGTGCCGTTGAACTGGAGTAGCGCGAAACGGATGATAGGGTTCAGGGCTCACACAAGTAACGCTTGAGTGAGCTCTCAGAATTAATCTATTTGAAAATATTCGGATTAAATCGTTTAAAAAATACGTATAGCCTGATGGCCTCGCTGGTCAGATGTTTTAGATGGTCAGAGCACCTGACGCAGGGGTGCGGCGTATTCGCCCGGGTCGGCCCGGACCGCGCCCGATGTGTGCCGATGTTGTGACACGATTGGCTCGCTGGTACCGCCGCCTGTCGCTCGTGTGCACCATCAGCGAGCTTTGACCAGAGCGAGGCGTCAACCTCCCATCTCTCCGTGGCAGCGGCACTTCGGCGCGTGATCTCGGCGTCAAGGATGAAATTCTAGTCCCAAATACGCGTCTTGTGCTTTCCGCAGAGATTTCTTCAGTTGCGAGTGAGCGAAGTCAAGGTTTACCCCGATGATGCAGGGCCGTTGGCGAAGATGGAGGTAAAGGAGATGATGACAACGCTTGTCGCCAAGTGGTCCCAAATGACTGAGGTATGTGGGTGGTTTGAACCCCTGTCCTGTTTCCGAAAACGACGTGCAAGCTGGGGTGTGTACGTGAATAGCCATGATTCCAGAATTACAATAGCACCGGGAGATGTTACTCGGTGGGATTTCATAATGGTGTGAACATATGGTGATGCAGCGACCAATTAGTGTCAGCGTTCGCACCTGCATAGCAGTTCCATGCCGTCGAATAATGAAGTCCATATTTCCAAAATACAGATAGAAGTAATTTCTGTCCGCGCATCCTTTAAATTTTGTGGAAGGTCAGAAAACCTGCTTTGGGAAGACCCACTACCTGGTACGCCTATTGCCGGAATACCACTCTCGGAAGGGCCTACCGTTGTAAATGCCTACGCCCCGAAGTACCACGCCCGGAAAACCCGATGCTGGTAGTAGCGTCTCCCGAAGGATCAATGCTCGGTAGACAGACCTACGCCCCTGAGACCCACTCCGCGAGCACCTATGGCGATGTCTGTGTATGGTGTCAGAATGGTATTGTGGGTGCCGCCCTGAGGCCTGGTCGGCGCCACGGGAGTTAGAGAGGGGAGTGGGAGGCGGCCATCCCTTAGCACGCGCTCGAGAGGCCCGGTTTGAATATCTTCGCTTGGGTGGTGGATGAATTGGACCTCCCTGAGGTCTTAGAAACTAAGCAAGCTGGAGACGCCAAATTCACGGGATGCGTTGGCCTGTACGTGAACCCCCTTGTGTCAAAATTTTAGGACCCTAAGTCATGACCTTCGGGTCAGGTAAGGTCAAACAAGTGCGAACTCCAGGTTAGTGTCCAAAGTGCCCCCAGAACCTATATACCTGTTCTCAGCAAGACCACTGGTTCGCATTTAAGGTCAGTGACGTTGCTTGACCGAACGTCTTTGTGGCCCAAATCATGCGAGATTTCTTCGAGTTTTGCATTTGAATACGCGTCAAAGATCACGCTAGACAGAATGTTCCTAAAAGCAAAATGTTGACCTGGATCATTTTAGGTCAGTGATCTATTCTGATCTTTAAGAGGTCCACGGAAGATTGTAGTGCGGTTCTGTCATACACAAATTTTAAATGGGCACCAGATACTATTCCATACAACCCTTAACAACACCTATTACGAACAGCTTGCTTTGGACCCTGGTCTGACCTTCATAAGTGGCCCTGGGCCAGTGACTTTGTCCATTCTGTTGTTGTGTTGCCCTAGACACTATCTCAGAGATCTTCGTCAAGCACTCAGTTGTTGCACCAGGTTTAATGGTTCCCTGGAAATCGTCGGCTGAATCCATGACCTGACTTTGACCCGCTGTAGGGTGTAGGTGCAGGTATTCAGGCAGTAGGCCTTTCGGGAGTAGGGCTCCGTAGCGTAGTATTCTTCACAGCAAGTCGTCAGACAGGGTCTGGACTGCTCGCTGTAAATATTACCTTTTGAATGACAAACATGGCGACGAGCCAGTTGATAACGCTACTGCTAGCACATGGTCAGTCATGTCAGTCGTGTTGACGTGGCCTGGTGAATGCCACTGATGCCCAAGAGAGAGAGAGAGAGAGGAGAGAGAGAGAGAGAGAGAGAGAGAGAGAGAGAGAGAGAGAGAGAGAGAGAGAGAGAGAGAGAGCGAGAGGAGAGAGAGAGAGAGGAGAGGGAGAGGAGAGGGAGAGGGAGAGGGAGAGGGAGAGGGAGAGGGAGAGGGAGAGGGAGAGGGAGAGGGAGAGGGAGAGGGAGAGGGAGAGGGAGAGGGAGAGGGAGAGGGAGAGGGAGAGGGAGAGGGAGAGGAGAGGGAGAGGGAGAGGGAGAGGGAGAGGGAGAGGGAGAGGGAGAGGGAGAGGGAGAGGAGAGAGGGGCACTGTCGCTGATGCCGGGTGTCCCCTGACCTGACAGAATTGCTCTCCGTGAGATGCACGGCGAGACGTCATCCCGTCGAAGGCTGAATGGTGGCGTCTCGTGTGCGGCATGCCAGCCTGTCAGACCAGCTGGAGAGACGGAGCCGGCCGGCTGGCGAGCGCCGTCTGCAACCGAATGCTGGGCTGCCGAGAACAACGGGGGGGGGGGGGGGGGGAGGAGGGCCGCCACTCCGGTCCTTCACAGTCGAGGCTCGGCCTCCGACTGCTGGTGCGCCCCACAGCACGCGGCGGCACTGGTGTACTCCACCGTCTAGGCTGGGGTCCAGCTGTCACCTACGTGGGCACGCCCAAACTGGCTTGCTCACGGATCACTGGTGCTCACCACATGGTGTTGTTGGTATCACGCTTTAAGGATGGTGTCGCGATTTTGTGATTACATGCGCTTTGTTGTTATATATCCATGCTGCCCAGCTTCTGAATGTGAAGGTCGCGTGAGCGTTGCAGTGGTCTGCGCAACCTCTGTACTTTTTGTCTCAGCAGTACAAATACATGAGTTACGAGTTGCCAAGTTTTTTCTAGGTAATGCGCGCGAGATGCATTTCCCGGCGCAACCTCTGCACTGGTTCGCGGAGAAATGCACTGGTTCTCAAGTGCCCGGATTGACACGAAACCCAGCAGTTGTATATTTTCACGGCATTAGCCGCTCAGGCTGAACACTTCTTACGAACACGGCGCGGTTCAGCCTAATGACGCGGCGAGCGAGGCGCCCCGCAGTCTCTCCGCGCTCCCACCGCGTGGACAGGTAGCGCTCGACGCGGGCGGCACACTCGCGCCGTGGCACCTGCAAACGACCAGTGGCAGCAGTACGGGGGTCAAAGTGGGTAGCAGTTCCTGTGTCCGCTGACATAGTTCGATGAAATCCTGAGGCGCGCTTCGATCCATGAAATCATGGCATGATTTCAAATCCTCGACTGCCACAGGTCGGAATGGTGGATAATGAAACAGCGGATGTCACAGTAGAAGCAGCCAAATGCCGAGACTGCCCCTCCCCCGTCAATGAACCGACCGACGACTTAGTGACCACAAGACATCTGTGATGTGCGACAAAAGAAGTTTGAGGTAGTTCATCCATTCAAGGCCATTAAACCACTTGTAGGCGAGTGGGAGTCATCTAAACGTGCCGTTTCTAAGAGGTCACTCTTTGCCGGCTGCGGATGAGACACGCCTGCGCTACATATTCGTTTCACGAATCGGGCCAGAACACGTTACGGTGTTGGGAATGAGGAGAGCGTTGGAATGTATAGCACGTTGAAACCTCGTGGCCGCCACTATGTCGCGAATCAGTGGAGTTTTTCACCACAGCACCACTTTCTCGGCATCCGGGTGACCTCGTGACCTATTATTTGACATTGTCGCCGTATTTGCATTTTTGGCGTACATCGATTTCATCAATATTTATAGCCGTCCGACAGCGTAGGTGTATTTAATTTTAGACGGTTGAGTAATCGAACAGTAGTGCTGACCGAGTGAAATGGAGCTGGCCGTTCCCGAGAGGGCGCAAAATGGTCACGCAATCAACGCGCCTAAAACGCGGAACAGCGAACGGGCACACTCGTGGTGGCTGGCGCGGCTGCTCCCGATTCGGGGACGGTGGGTGAGCGCGCGCGGACACGATTATTCTCATGTATTGCGTATTGGTAAGGTCCACTAGATGCAACGCAAACAGTTGCGAACGTGGCTCGGCTGAGTGAGACGAATTGGTACGACGCATTCAGCGGCTGCTGGAGCGTAGGTTCATGCAGCCCGGAATTCTACTGAAACTCTTCTGCTAGAGTCACAGAGGCAGTTGCAAGGGAACATCGCCATCCTTTTCTCACCCACTGTTATATCCTGAATATCGGCAAAACCTCATGTATTCGGAGCACGCCGCGTGCATTAGTCATGAGTGGGGACCCGTCCGAGCCCTCGCGCATGGCTTGCTGGGGAGATCCTGCACTGAGTGGCGGCGAATAACTCAGATGGTGCGAATAGTCCTGTCGGGGAGGCCCTGCACTGGGTGGTGGCGAATGACTCAGATGGTGCATGTAGTAGTGCATGGTCGGGAAGGCCCTGCACTGGGTGGTGGCGAATGACTCAAATGGTGCGAATAGTCCTGTCGTGGAGGCCCTGCACTGGGTGGTGGCGAATGACTCAGATGGTGCGTGTAGTCCTGTCGTGGAGGCCCTGCACTGGGTGGTAGCAAATGACTCAGGTGGTGCGTGTAGTCCTGTCGGGGAGGCCCTGCACTGGGTGGTGGCGAATAACTCAGATGGTGCGTTTAGTCCTGTCGTGGAGGCCCTGCACTGGGTGGTGGCGAATAACTCAGATGGTGCGTGTAGTCCTGTCGTGGAGGCCCTGCACTGGGTGGTGACGAATAACTCAGATGGTGCATGTGGCCCTGTCGTGGAGGCCCTGCACTGGGTGGTGACGAATGACTCAGATGGTGCGTGTAGTCCTGTCGGGGAGGCCCTGCACTGCACTGGGTGGTGACGAGTGACTCAGATGGTGCGTGTAGTCCTGCCGGGGAGGCCCTGCACTGGGTGGTAGCGTATGACTCAGATGGTGCGTGTAGTCCTGTCCCGCCGCCCACCGCACACCAACATCCTACGACTCTGAATTACTGAGCTCCAGCCAAAACCACACCAGACCTGTGACGCTGCCGACGCCTGCTGGGCTGGCAAGTCCGGTTGCAAGGTAGGGGACCCCGGTCCGGCAGGCTAACCGCGACGCCGTATCAGCGATGATCTACTCACATCGTCGCCTGCACAAAAGCAATCTGGGGGCTATCGCTAGAAGCCCTTCGGACAACGGACCTCTGCGAAATGGGTAAAAGGTTTTAGCTAAAAGCACAGTAAAAGCCTTGCGTCTGCTGCAACACTGGCAGGGTATTAAAGGGCGGACAGTGACAATTTACTTCGGATTTCATCCCTGCATGCGCGAGTCGAGGGTGTGCGAAGCGCCCGGAGATAGTGGTGATCTGCCAATACCAGTTCGGTCAACCCCCATCAGCTCGGTATGGAAAACTCGCCTAAAAACCCAACATTCTTACGATTCAGCTGGCGCCACTTGAAGAAAGCAGGCACGCGGTAGCTTCATATAGCGTTCACTCCGATAAGAATCCGACCAGCCGCACGTGCACGCCTGTCCAACACCGCTTGAAGCGGTACTCGCAGTCAGTGGACGGGAAGTGCTGCCCCCCCCCCCCCCCCCCTCCAGCCTGCTTGCGGTCTAGTCGCCCTCAGAGGGAATCCCTTGGTGTGAACACTGCGGTTGCCTCTAGACTCTGTTCACCGTCTGGCTGTCGCGGTCCAGCCGGGCGGCAACACTGCTGCCACTTCTCAGGCCCTGCCGGCCATCTAGCGGCCATGACACCGCGGGCGGGCAACACTGCTGCCATCTGCCGGATCTGCTCGCCATCGGCCGGCCGTCATGACCCCCCAGGCGGGAACAGTGATGCTATCTCGCGGGCCTGCTCGTCGTCGGGTGGCCAGCTCGGCGGTGTCCGGTCGGGGGTCGGCAGGGAGCTGGTTCGCTGGCCCCTCCTGCGGAGCCGGCGACGGCGGCGGCGGCGGCGAGGCGGGGAGTCCGGCCCTGCAGCGTCCAAACGGGCGGCGGCTCCTCCAGCGGGCGCTGCTCGTCGTCCAACAGGCTGCGACGGGGCACACTGGTCGGTGAACGGCGACAGCAGCACAGGTCGGCTAACAGATCACACAGACTAAGCGACGCGGCACAGCTCGCGCCTGGGTGGACAGCCCAGCCCGACACGATCCAGACGGCGGAGAGCGCCCGCCCGCTCCAGCGCGCCTCTGACTGCGCCTCCAGCTACGAACCTACGACTTCAGTCGTACAGCCGACACGTCACGTGTGCTAACGGATGCAGTGTATGGCTATGACCCGCTACACTGAGGTAACACCAGGGATGGGGAGGGGAGGGGGAGGCACACGTGAACTGGATCTGGAGGCAGATGAAAGGGCACTCGGGAGACACGAACATGTCACGGTTGGTGAACACAACACCGTAGGTGCACCCGGTGAGCCACGAGAAATAATCTACGACGCCAACTTCACGACCAGCGTCGATTTCGCACTCACAATGTGGGCAGCTGAAGCGGGCCAAGCGTCTCAAAAGGACTTCCAGCGTCCAGTGTGGGTGACGAGCGGTCCGAGGTGGCGGCCACGCTCGGCGCCACGGAGCCGGCGGCCGGCGGCGGCGCGCGCAGCACGGCCGCGCCGTCCGCCACCGCCGCCGCCACCCGCCGTGTCGGCGAATGACAGCGTGAAGTCGGGCTGCAGCCGGCCGTCGCGCACGGCCTCAGCCACGGCCGCCACGCGCTGCAGCCGGTCAGCGTCCGCCAGCAGCGCCAGCGCCGAGCGCGCCAGGTCGGCCGCCTCCGGGTCCCAGTGGTGGCCGAGCGGCTGCAGGGCGCCCGTCAGCCGGGCTGCCGCGCCGACAGCCAGCCGCGGCCCGCACGACCCACACGAGCCGCTCGAGCGCGCGCAGCTCCTGCAGCAGCGGCGCCTCCTCCTCCTTCTCCTCGGCGTCCGGCTCCAGCTCCGGGTCTGGGTCGTCGGCAGCCAGCAGCGGCAGTCGGTCGCAGAGCGCGGCTACCGTCCGCTCCAGCAGCTCAGGCTCCAGCAGCGCTGCCAGCTCGCCCACGGCCCAGAGAGCCAGCGTGCGCAGTCGTCCGTCAGCAGCGCCGTCCGCCAGCAGAGCGGCGTACAGCCGGGCGGCGGCCGGCCGCAGCGGGCCGCCGTCCGGTTCCAGAAGCAGGCTACGCCGCAGCCGACCGGCCACCGCCGCACCGCCGGCCTGCTCTACCGCGCGGTTAGTGACCTGCAGCAGCGCCGGCCGGCGCGCCGCGTACCGCTCGGCCAGCAGCGCGGCGCGCCCCAGCAGCAGGGCGCGCACCTCCGGCCGGCCGGCGGAGGCCGCCGACTCCATCAGCCGGCCGCAGACCGCCTCGGCGCTCTCCTCGGTGGCCACGGCGTGCAGCCAGCTGCAGGGCGCGCAGTCGCAGCGTCTCGTCGGCGTCGCGCAGACACTGGAGCACGGCCAGCCGGAGCGGACCGTCGGGCAGCACGGCGCCGCCGTCGCACAGCCGGCACAGCGCCGCCAAGCCGGCGTAGCGCACGTTCCCGCTGGCGCTGCGCACCATCAGACCGGCGCAGCGCAGCGCGGCCGCGTGCAGCGAGGTCGGCGCGTCGCCGCCGCCGCTCGGCGCGGCCGGCGCCGGCGGCAGCGTGGCCGCCGCCGCCACGCACTCACACAGGATGGCAAAGCCCATAGCGGTGCTGGGGACGCCGGCCATCAGCTGAGGACAGCAGGAACTGGGCGAAAGTGTCGGCCAAGCCCGAGTCGTCCGGGCACAGGTACGAGATGAGCCTGGGGGCGCGCCAGACCACCGTGTCATCTCACACTGACCTCGTGTTTACTCCAAACATCACCGGAGCATACAGCGGCTGGGTCACACTCGCAAAGGGCGCACCGTCGACCTCGACTGGCATGCTCATCGCGTCCGGTGGATTACAGCTGGCGAATCGTATGGCTTGTGACATCGAGCCACCCTTCAAGTTCAAAAACCACACCAGTTATTCAAAGAGAACAAGGACGGGTCCACGTTTTTGACATGCAATACAGCTCAGTGTATACCAAAAGGTCGGCGTTTCCTTTGGTGTGCTGTTGTTGGATCACGGATAACAGCCGTGTGCTGCAGTGCGCGGCGCCTTCGATGTGGGTCTCAGTGGCGTTGCGTTAGCGCCAGCAACCGCGCGCCAGGGCTGACTCACCGGATAAGCGAGCACTGCAGCCAGGGCGCCGGCACGCCCCTGTGCTCGAAGTCGGGCGGCAGCTTGCGGCTCTGGACCTGGCCCAGGATCGTCATCAGGCTGGTGGTCAGGTGGGCGAACATAGCCGGGTTCAGCTGTCGGATCGGAGGCCTGCCGTCAGCGCACCACCCGCCGCCCGCGCCATCACCACAGGCGGGGCGCACGACGGGGGACCCTGGCTGGTATACAGCCGTGAGCGGAAACAGCGCAGGGGGTGGTTTGATGCGATGATGGGGCCACGCAGAGCGATGTCCGCTTCAGGTGGGCTAGCACATGGCAGTGGTAAAATCATTCCAAATCTGAATGTGAGGCCGTCTTAGCCTCACACTGCGGCATTGTGATAATTACCGTTCCAGAACGTCATCGCTTGCCCGGTGCCGGAAGGGGGCATCTCGCAAGGCCAACAACACGATGGATACGAAGCGATCATCAAAACACCATCGCCGCGCCGGCCCGTTCAGGTGCGGTATTGACTCCGACGTAGCGGCTGGGCCGCAGCGCTACCCCGGAGACGACTCAATGTCTCTGGCCGTGGTCTGCTGTATGGCTCTGGTAGTGGTCTGCTGCCTCACCGCACGCCGTGACAGCAGGCAGCTGACGGGTTCCCACTGTCGCAAGGCGTCGCCCTACAGTCCCAACAAGCCCCGCCCACCGCGTCCCAGGCGCGGTCTCGGCCCGCCACCAGCACATGCTCAGCACCCCCCAGCCCGTACTGCAGCGAACGTGAGGCACAGCTGGACGGCCGACGCCATGACGAGCGGGTCTCGGTCCAGCAGCGCCGTCTCCACAGCCTCCAGCTGGCCGGGCAACAGCTCCGGCGAGCACAGCAGCAGACTGTGCAGCGCGCGCGTCGCCTTGTCCCGCACCACCGCCTGTCGGCAGAAGCGCGAAATGGAGTCGCGCTCGGACAGAGCGGCACGGCGCAGCGACGACGAGCCGGCAGTTCCGCCCGTGACCGGCATTATAATGACTAGAATGATGTAACGACTCAAACGACCCACTCGGCCACTGGCGTCGCAAAGTACCTCGTCGGCTGAAATGGTCAAGTACACACGAGTACGTGCACAAGAGCAGCAGGGACAGGTTGCCGGGCCGTTCTCCCGGCAGGCTTGGGCCCCGCACCTGGCGGTGTTTGAGCTTGCTGAGCACGGCCGGCAGGAAGGTGGCGGCGTTGTCGGCCGTAACCAGGTGGCAGACCATGTTGAGGCCGGTGCAGAGGACCAGCACGTCGCCGCTACGTAAGTCGCCCAGCACAGTGTTGACCAGCAGCACGGCCAACTCGTCGGTGGGCCTCAGCAGCAGCGACACGGCCAGGTAGCCTGCCAACGGCGTCCTCTCCTCAGACGGGCCTCCAGTATGCGATCACACCTCGCTACCAGAGACATGACCAATCTTAAAAGGCACACAGTTGCCAGGGTGTTTAATAGCTTATGCCACGTCAGCCTCACCAGCATTGAAGACAAGTAAATGGCCTCCAAAACGGCGGGAACGCCGCCCAGTGCCGTGGTGGCTTGCCTGCTGTGCTGTCTTACCCATTCGCTTTTGCAGCAGTGAGCCTTGCTGCGCCAGAGTGATGGCATGGATGCAGATGAAGCGCACGTCATAGCCGAGCAGGTGACAGTAGACGGCCACACTGAGTGCCTGAGCGCGCACCGTGCACTCGGCCGAGGGCAGTGCCAGCAGCTGCTCCATACTGGCCAACTCGGCCTGGATTGTCAGCTAGAAAGGAATGTCACTGTCAGATGCCACCCCATTTTTGGTCAGCAAATTAAGATGGAATGTGAACCATTCAGGCTCCATATCTCCCAAGTAAATGGCAGTTTACTTGGGCCTCAGTATCTCCCACAGCTGACCCTGGATTCTCCTTGTGATGGGCTTTCTGAAATGGTAGATGTGCTTAGGACATATGCTAATGATTTGGGTATGGGCTTGGAATGTAAGCATGTGGGAGGAGAGCATGGGAGCACACCATGCATGGGACACCTGACACCCACAGAGTGATATTCTTCCAATTTGTGATACAATGTATTTCAAGAAAGTGGTAAAAATGCTATTGATAAATGACAGTTTATAATACACTAACAGGTAGCATTAGCAGAACAAAACCATTGAGTAACAGCTGGCAACTAGTGCCAAAAAGTTTAAAAAGCAACAAGTGCTTACACACAAAACACAAACACAGGGTGGCACACAATGTCCCACCTGACTTCCCTGCTGTCACTTCAATCTTGGGCAGATACAGGGAGCTTGAAACAAAGGGTGCACTGCAGATATCTTACCTCAATTTCATCCTGACACTCACAGAGTGATACTTCCCTGATGAAGTCTCTGAAGGAAACTGGGGGAGACCTCCTGATAGGGATACTGGATAATGGAACTTGAAACAAAAGACGCCCAGCAGTTATCTCACCTCAATTTCATCCTGACACCCACAGAGTGATATTCTTCTGATGAAGTCTCTGAAGGACACTGGAGAAGATTTCCTGATGGGGATACCGGATAATGCCGCTGCACCAGCATCACTAACTTTAGGTAGGTTTTCAGCCACTGCCTTGGCAAGTTTTGACAGTTTCAGAGTCAAAAGAGAGGCCATCTTGATATGGCTGATTGCTAATTACATGACCTGTTTTATCTTCAGGCAAAAAATGCACCTGAAAGAGCAGAGACATGGCTAGTGAAGGATCTTTACAGCAAGCAGAGCTGTTGCTCTTGAAAACCAAGACTTAAATGAGAATGCAGTCCAATGGTGGAATTAAACTAATTGTGATATTAATAAGAAGGGGGCAGCATTGCACCATCTCATCTCTAAATAACAAGAATGTATTACCAGCCAATGACATCTGCCACTTACTTTCCCAGGAAGGTAACTAGCAACAGCTGGAATCATGAACAGTCTCTAATTGAATGATCAGAAGTTTGGGGTTTAAATGACAGCTGGTTCAAGGACAATCATGACACTTGTGTTTTTTAACCTAAAAAAATAGCAGTATCCAGCATAGCATCAGCACTGAATATCTGAACAAATATGTCCTATCAGGGGCTGGCAGTGACTGCTGTTGACAGGAAGAAGCATGGTGTGCTCATTGAACATTTGAAAGAGGGATTTTAATTCCATTACTATGTATTTCCTAATTTTAACAGGAGAAAACCTGATTTAAGTGTCTTTCTTTACTTTTTTTGGCAATATGCTCAGGTCACATCTTTGCTTCTGACTAAAATTTGAGACATCATAAAGGCATGGGGGCACCATTGCACCTCTATGTATTTCCTAGTATTGTATTTATCTGCTTGGTAAGATGAGCCATGGTGAGCAAAATGCAAACCACTGACTTCAGTGCATCAGTGCAGTGCCATGAACACAAAACACTCATGACCAGCACTGTGAAAATGCAACTGCTATGCCTTAAGTTAAGGTATCTAATACAACCTGGATGTTATCCAATTATTGTTGATATTATGTATTCAATGAAACTATCACATACATTGCATTACATTAGTTTCCCAGTGCATTAGTGAGCAGCATTATTCACACAGATAAGACAGTAGCATTAGCCTTGTTCCTCTGAAAAAACAGGACAATAGAGAATAGTTTGAGTGATATTTTTGCAACATGCCTTTAGCAAAACAAAACAACAGCAGAAGTGTAGATCTTACCCAATTTATTTCACCAACACTTCACCTCCGCTTTTGATTCGATAAAGGCATCTTGCTGGAATATCAACCAAACTAGCCCCATTCCCCTGATTTTTCTGAGGAATTAGGCTGATACTACCATCTTATCTAGTTTTACTATGCTGACAGTGGGTATAAAGGTGACAATTTATACAGCCCACGTGTTGGCTTTCATGTTCGCAGGTGTTTAACTTTAAAATAGCGTGCCTGTACCTACGCTGACGCATAAATATTTCACCTAACACACCACAAGATCTTTTTCAGGTGCACTGAATGCCTCTTCTTAAAGTTGGAACCCAGATTGCATGAACGACAATAACAATATTTTGTAGCTGCCGGGCAGGAATTGCCGCAAAAAGCGGCTACCAAAATGCTGTCCGTAGCAGTCAACATCGCCACCATCCACAAAAGCAGCTCCAAACTCAAAAACTGCCGCACCGCCGAGTGCTGCGCCGACTTTTTTCCAAATAAACACCAGTTAACGCAAGAATACAAGACTTTTTCATTGCCTAGCCTCAAACTTGTGACCACAGTTCACCGTCTTCCCCATAAGAACCTGCATCGACTGCCCCAAGACAGTGCATCAGAATCTAAACTAGGAGCAAGCCGAACCGGTGTCCTCGAGACATTTTCCGAAAGAAAAGGCAGCTACGATTTCATCAACCGTCCTGAAACTGGCGACCTCAGGTCACAGCCTGTACCGTACCTCTACCATATCATATTTACGGTATACAATGTGCATGTGTTTAATGGTGCCCCGGGTTCTGAACGGCTCACGAAATCGTAGCTGCTCTAGCTACACGAAAACGTTCTGAAGAGGTCGGCCGAAAGGTGTAAGAACAGGGAGGAGAGGGGCACGAATCACAGCTTTGCGCGTAAGTTTGACACTGGCAACGCCACGGGTGTAGTTTCCCTTTCAGTTGGAATAGACGTGGGGGAGCTTCACTCCCCTCCAACTTGGGATTCAGTCCCCATCCCCTTAACACACACTTCAGTCCCCCCCCCCCCCCCAACTGGGACAGAAAGTGGGCAGAATCCGGGAGAAACCCGTTGAACTAGATGGCACGACTTGGGTGGTGGGTTCGGGGTATACGCAACAAGCTATGCTTAGCAGGTACTCTGAACCCGCAGTCACCCATGCAAACCATTCGGAATTAATTTATAAAAAAACTGTTTATTGCATATTTTGAGGGCTGGCTGGGTACTTTTTCCCGTTGAGCCTCACACCCCAACCAATTTTGCGAAACTGCGCCCCTGGGTAGCGCACATCAGAAAATCGGCCCAAAAAGGTTGGGTCGACGCACTCTGCGGTTATCCACGCTAAATTGGCAACAACACACCAAAATAGGACGCTGGGACCGTACAATGCTGGTAACCACATATTTCGTTCACATTCCAAGCATAATACATTTAACGTACTTCCGTAAGCCCGGCGTCATACCTTCTCTGTTTGCAAACACTGTTCATTTTGATGTTATTTATTTCGCACTTAGACTAGAAAAGCACACACCATCTTCTTTACGGAACATTCCAAGTAATTGGCCAACGCCTTTGCAATGCTGCCCGATAGCCAACAGCCCAATTTCTGAATCCTGGGCCAGTGCGCTTTACGTCTTTGTTTTGATAATGCACCCGCTGTCTCGGTTTTAAAGGGACTCTGAGAATGAGCACCGACAGCACAGATGTAAACAGGCAAGCTCTGCCTCCTGCCGGCAAACTCTCTTTCTCTACGCGTCTGTTTAACAAGTTCTCCTAAAGGCCACAATCTGTTGACAAACCTGTCGCCTGTGCCCATTTGCTCACTGATGTGTCTACCCGAGCATCAGCGGCAAGACAGTAACTGACAGTACCAAAAAAACAAAAACAAAAACAGGAAATTTCTAGGTGTACTCCTAGGACAAAGGCAAAAGTAGTCAACACGCAAAAGTATGACCATAAGCCATGCTGAAATAATCAACTAGGTACAAATACACTCGTAAGTAGCAAATCAGATCTAAGTGTTAAAGCCTACCCTTTCCAACCTGGCCAACGAATGTGACACTAAACAAAAAGTTATGGCCCTCATTCAGATAAGACAAGGAACGAATACCTCGCATATATAGATTATTAACACACGCCATTGAACCAACGTGCATTATCCGATGTCACTCGCAAGTAGTTGAAGAGTATTGAAAGAGGCCATTCAAAGCTTCTCAGCTAATGCCGTGAACATCACCATGTGCGAAAGCTGCTCTGCAGGAAGCACAGAAACAAGATAATAGTGGGATTGCTTGCAAAGCGTGACCCCTGAAGCCAACCCTCATTCAAGTCTATCAAGCCTGACTAGAGGACGTGAAAAACAACAGGGGAAGGTCCGTCGACCAATTCCGCGTCGGCATAAAGCTGCATCCGCGCCCGAACTCCAGGCGCTCCGCGTTTCAGACTTCAGACAGTTGATTAATGCCCGCCACCGCGACCCCAGCTGAGGAGAAGCGCCGCTCGCTGCGCCGGCGGCCCGCTCAGGTGGCGGCTGGGTCCTTCTCGTAGCGCAGCAGCGGCGAGCAGACGAAGTTAAAGACGGCGCCGGCGCTGGTGACGAGCTCGTTGACGACGTCGCGCTGGGTGACCTCCAGTATGGGGGCGATCTCCTGGGTACAGCTGAGGCAGCGCAGACCGGTCAGCTGCAGCTGCGGCCGCGTCGTGCCCAGGCCGGCGCTCAATTGACCGCGGTACTGCACGCGGTCGCCCGCCCGCAGGTTCAGTCCGAACGCCTGGAACTGGTTGTCGGCCGCCAGGTAAACATCAGCCGGACTGACGTTTAGGTAGCCAGCTGGCATGTGCACCACAATGTGAAACTGGTAGCGGTTCCAGGAGCGCAACGTGCATCGTGACGTCATGACGGTGTGCGCCGTCTTGCAGCGGCTGAAGCTGACCTCGTCCATCAGCTCGGCGTTGCAGTCTCCGACTGGACGGCCGTAAACGCAGGCCAGCGTCTGCTGCAGGCCCACCGGCAGGAAACTGATCAGCGCCTGCAGCTTGTTCTCGGCCGACTGGACGCGCACGTCGGCCACGGTGCCCTCCCACTCGACGGTGGCGCCCTCCAGCAGCTGACAGCCGTGCTGCACCTGGGCCGTGGTGGCGGCGTCCAGTGCCGGCCGGTGACACACGTTATAGAACTGCTGCCAGGGCAGCGCAGTCACGTCGGTGGGCGGTGGCGTCGTCAGATACGTGATCTGCACGGCCGGCAGAAGCGACAGCAGGCCCAGCCCCAGCACCAGCACCTGGTACGACGAGATGACGCGCGTCAGCGAGGCGTGCCGGCTGCGCAAGAAGGCCAGGCCGAACGGCAGCGCCAGCAGCGCGCCCGTCACCACCGCCTGCAGCAGGAAGCCGGCTTGGTAAAGGTGACGGCCCAGTGCCACAGCTGGGAATAGCAGCAGGAAGCCACCGATGATGGGGAGCGCAAACACAGTGCCGAAGAAGGTGCCGACAGCGCGCAGCACGCCACCGGTGGAGGCGTCGCCGGCAAACAGAATGGCGGTCTGGAACCAGACGACCGAGGCCAGGTGCGGGATCAGCACCTTGTAAGTGCCGCGCCACCTGTCCTGCGCCGCCATCGTGGCGTAGCAACCGAGCGTGGCCAGGTGCAGGATAGCCAGCAACGAGAAGTCGAGGAAGAGGCCGGGCGCCAGCTGCAGACTGGCCGCCGGCGCAGGCCTCAGCGTCGGGAACAGGTGCAGACAGGACAGCGTCACGTGTAGCACCATCGACAGCCAGGCCAGCCGCTGGTGGCGCTCGCTGAGCGAGATGAACGTGATGGCCGTCATGAGGGCGGCCAGCGCAGTGATCTCGGAGCTGAGCACCATCGAGTCAGGCGTGTACTGCAGCGCCGTCACCGTCGCAGCCATCGCCACGAAGAAGCGCCCGTACGGGTACAGGTTCTTCCAGCAGAACTTGGCCTCGGCTAGCTGCGTGTTCAGGTCGTCTTTGATAATCTTCATCACCTGTGACCAGATGCGGAAATTGCCCAGGTCCTCGTGAAGCTGTAGCATCTGCAGCGTGGAGATGACCATGACTAAGAGGGCGACGTACAGGACGATGACCGGCAGGATGAAGCGCAGCATGCGGACGTCGACGAAGGACACAAGGAACACGACCAGGATCGTCTTCAGTTGCGTAGTCGGGATCAGCGAGAGCAGGAAGGCGTTGCCGCGCTCTGACATTGTCTCGATCATCTTGTGATAGCCGTAACTGACGGAGCGCACCGGATGGAACATCACCTTCTCCAGCAGCGTCATTTCCTGGAAAGCAGTCTCGTCATCGCTGACCTTAAGGAACTTGTTTATGGTGGGCAGGTCGCCGTTGACAAAGTTGGCCGCCGCCGCCACCAGCGAGTCCTCAGACAGCTTCTCGCCGCCGATGTGGCTCAGGAAGGAGATGGTGCGCGGCGTGTCCGTCGCGTCTTCGGCCGCCGGCGCCGTCGCTGCTACGCCCTCGCCCTGATCTCTGCCGTCACCGTTGCCGTCGCCGCCGCCATCAGCGGGTGGTTCGGCCTCAGCGGCTGGCTGGTCACCGTCGGCGGCGGCGGCGGCAGGCGCGGGACGCTCCAGGTCGCGCCGCTCCTGGCTGGTGAGCCGCTGCAACCGGCTGCGCAGCTGCGCCGTCGTGATGAAGTCCTGACCGTCGGCCATCGTGTAGAAGAGCTCGCGGGCAGCACGGCGCGAAAGCTTCTCCTCCTGCGTCATGTCCAAACAGTTCTTCACGTCGATGTAGTTCTGGTCCGTGATGCCGCGGCCCCGGTCAAAGCACTCGCGCAGCAGCTCGGTAGCCTCAGCATTGCCCTGCTCGGATGCCTTGGTCAACCAATAGACAGCCTGGACATAATTCTGGGTGGCCTCAGAGGGCGCGGCCGGCGCATCCAGCAGCTGCTTGGCCAACACCAGCTGCGACTCCTCGCAGCCGTCCTCTGCCAGGTTACTGCGCAGCCGACGCAGCGAGCCTTGCGGTCCGTCGTGCAGAGTCCACTGTTTGCGCGAGCCGCGCCGGCCGGACGCCTCTCCGTCAGGCACAGTGCCCGCCATCTTGGGATGATTGCTCAGGGCCTGCTCAGCAGACTGGTCAGCCACTTAGCTGACCTGATGAGTGTACACAGACACACAGCAACTGCACAGGCCTGCAAACAGTATGCAGGGGTCAATCACATGAGCTGGACCTCCTGTTAAGCCTAACTCAGAGCTGAAGTATGTGTTGGTTTAAGTAGGCAACATGTCTCCTGGTGAGTACTACAGCTCTAAGGCTGGGCAAATATTTGAATTAAGACATAAAATAGCTCAAACGCAATGTCATTCTTTTCAGTGGTATAAGCCACCCACAGCCATGACAGGCTCTCAACCTTGACCATGAAAATTGTGTTATGCTGCAGTGAAACTGGACCTTGGTGTAGGGCCAGGTACCTACAGGGAACAAGACTTGAAACAAAATGTGGAGCAGTCCTTTGGTGGCATCACCATGACTTGGATGCTAGAACCAGAGGCATAGTCTCCTATTCACTTAGGGGGCTTAGACCCCCCTCCAACTCAGGCTTCAGACAATCCCACTTTGGAAAGAAAGTGGATAAAAATTAGAGGACAGACCTGTTTGGTTGCATACTTTTGGGGCAGGTTATGTCAGTTTTTGCTTTAATGCCCCACAACCCATTTTGCAAAACTATGCTCCTGGCTGGAACAGTAGGGAAAATGAGTGGCAAGCTTTTAAGGATGATTGGAATGATTCCACTGTCATCAGTCTGTTCTGTAACTGGCAGCAAGTTTTTCTGGTTTCCTGACATTTAGCAGTCAAGCATGGAATACTAACTGCAAACCACACAAGCAGAAGCAATGCAACAGATTATCAGGTATGTTAAGAACACTTATGATTTGCTGTCCTATTCACATTTTCTTCTCAAAGGGGCTCTGATAGTAAGCCATGCCATTACAGGTAGGTGCATAATAATTCCACCCATCATCTGCATTCTGCATGCCATGTCTACAAACATCCAGCATATCCAATATTCAAAGAAAACAATCGTGAGTGCAAATTCATCACTCAAGCAGCTGCTGAGGAATGACACAATTTACAGTGGAGGAAAGCCTGATGTAACATGAACTTAGCACCACTTTCCTTTAATTTTCCCATGGGATTACATCCTGATCCAATTTTGACCATGCAATGCACACGTTTCACCTTTCCTTATTCATCTCATTATTTTCATGTCAGGCTATCCCCAGACTCCATTGAACCCTTCACCTTGTCCCCACCCAATCTCATAGCCACGGTAACAAGCGCGATGTCATAGTTCACCGCGCCCACTCACTGCATGCGCCTTCCCGGGGGGCCTATACTTGTGCGCCGAATTCACAACTGAGGCCCAGCCCAAATCTTGCGTTAGAGGAGCCCTACAGCGGGCATACACCAAGCCCAAGAATTAAATCCAGACAAACATGCAAAACATCTTGCGTCTTCCTACTCACCTCTGGAATAGCCACAGCCAACCCTACTCTGGTGGCGGCGCCCGGGGAATTAACCACCAACCGCCCCACCTCGCGTTCGCTGTGTTTGGGACGCGAACGAGATCCGTGCGCGAACTCCAAGGTCAAGCTGTGGTGGTGTTGTGTGGTGTGGAGAAGGCAGCGCCGCGGGTGCACCTACAGGCTTGGTTACACCCCTATGTCTTAATAAAACCGGTGGCGCAACTAGGGTTTTCACAAGGAAAAGAGATAGGCGATAACATCACACATGTTTCTAAACCTGTTGGAAGCGATCTATGATGGGAAAAGCACAATGATATAGACCATCGTGGAGGGGGTTGGGGCACCGCCGGTGTACATAGACGTTAGGCCCGCAGCAGCTTGGCCCCGCTAAGTTTGATCCCACAGTACAGATCGTTATAAAATTAGGACCGCGCTATCGCTCCTTCGGCATGCACTAATTTTGACAAGATAAGATCACCAAAGCGGCATGATACCAACGCATCAGGTCATGGTCAGACTTGCTCTTACATAGATTTTCTTGCACCATCATTGATTGGTCGATTGAGCGGGTAAAGATGTGTTCGTATAGCGTGTGAACACATTATCAAAGCCCTTAACCACATCAAATAGGTCTGTTTTGGGGAAGGATGTGGAAACTAATAACCTTGAAACGAGGGAACCTTTTCTGAGATTCCAGTTAAAATCTGGCGAATCTTCTGCCTTTTACCGAGCATCTAAAACATATTTGGGTCACCCGATTTTGTTTTTAGAGCGTTAGGGTGGTTTGTTTGCTTTTGGTGGCATGCGTGGAAGGAGTGATCTCGCTAGTGCCTGCGTTGGTGCATTTTTTGTAAGTTGTGCGTCTTTCCCGGAAAACGTTCATGATCTATTCGCTACTTTCGCCGCAGTGCCGCTTATTGAAGTTCCCCGCGCGAACTTGCCCCGCGCGTGAATAGGCGCGGTGGAGAGTGTTGGTCCATATGTGGGGGTCGTTGATTAAAACTGGTGAAGTGAAATATTAGTTGATGTTGAGGAACCCAGTGACTAGCTAATCAAGTGTTTGAAGACTAGGGTGTAATGTCCCAGGCGGTGACGGTGGCTGTATCACCGAACTTGAAAGACACCCGAATTTGAGGCTGAGGTTGGCTCTGAATATCAGAAGTGTGTGGACCTGACTTATTTAGAACTTGAACTGGTGTGAAACATGTATTCTTGAAAAGATACTTTGATTATGTTGTCTTGCCCAGCAAAGCATTAATTGGTCTGCATGATCTTACAATAAAGCACTGCAACTGTGTCACACTGACTTACTGGTAGTGTGGTTAATGTGTCCTTGTTAACTGCTGAGTCTGGGAAACCAGAGGTATGGGTTCAATTCAGTGTGGTGCCTGTCCTTCCTGCTAGGGAGAGAGGCAGATGGTGGCATATAGCCTCAGCAGCCCAGTGTGTCATAAAGCCCCAATGACACAACTACATCAGACTGTAGAAATACATGTGCCAAACATGACTGGTGTGGGGTAACATCACAACAGTAATTGTTTGGTGTATAGCTGGTACCCATTTGTGTGCATGGAAAGTCAATTTTTCAAAGAATTGTGATGTTTCCAAGGCGACTAGCCAAAAATACCCCATAACAAGAAAAATGGTGTACCGTGTCTGTGTAATTTGGCCTGGCTAGAGTTTGGCACTCACAAGTTCAAGGTGAGGCCCAGCCAGTGGTGTTGTAGCATTTATTCAGTCAGGAAAAATCTACACTAGATGATGCCTGTTGACGTGGCACGGTAAACATGGGGTGCTCTGTTGCACCAAGCTCAACGAGGCAAAATCCTGCATCTGAGTGATAAGTATGATCAGATCATCTTACGTCTTCCCATGCCTTGCTGGTCTAGCTTTTCTTTCATCCCTAGGCCAGTGCTTTGGTGTATGGGACTGCTGACAGATGCCCTGGGTCAAGTCAACCAGAATATGATTGATAGATGCCATGTGACATCTCACGATACAGGCCTTGGTCATCCTTGATAGCTGTAGTGCCAACCCCCCCCCATGGTTTGTCAGGTCTGGTGTTGCTTGCATATCTTCCATGGAGCACATTTGGTGCTATGTTACCTGGTTTCTGGTGCTGGGTTCTTTTCTGCTGCCTCTGATCCATCAAGGGCACTCACAAAAGTGATGCGCTTACTGATCTGCCTTAAAAGCTTACTGCCTTTAGTTTCAGTGCATTGGTATTTGCTGTTGTCATTTTGACACAGACTGCTGGTTGGTCTGTCTGTTGCTGTCACTTTTTATTACTTGACAGACTGTTCTGATCAAATTTGGTGCACTCTTATGAAATGGTCTTGCCCAATATCACCTTATGTACAATAAATGAAATGTATCTAGTTAGGGCTACATGAATATAGTTAAACTTCTCCAACTCTCATGAACAATGGCTTAATGGTATGATATGAAAAGTCACAGATGTGTCCTTCTTCACATGAGAAATCAGCAACAACTGCAGCCACAGGTGGCTGGAAGACTTGTGTAGTGAATTGGTGTGGACAAGATGGCTCAAAATGCATTCATGCATCCGCGTAACATATACCGAACCCCTCCAGACTTCAAAGCTCTGGTAGATGACTTTCCGGACATCAGGAAACACGTAACCACAGTGAGTGTCCTCTGGGGGTCGTCGGTGTTCACTGCGCCAAGGCCGCGGCTGTTCCTCATGTATTCTGTGCGCTTCACGGTCGGATCGGCTCGAGGCTGCGGTCCCAGCGCACAGCGAGCATGTCCATATACACAGCCATCTCCAGATGAGGCTCACGGCTAGTGTACGGTGGTCGTGTATGAGAGGGGCGACACTCGCTGGTGAAACTAACTGCGAATGTTCAGTTAGTCCCCACAAGTACAACTAACATATAATGAACACTTACAGTAAATAATGATTGCTCTTTGCTTTGTAATGAGACTTGCTGTTATTGAAACGCCTATTAATATCATATGATGCAGCATTTCAGATCACTCAAAATATGTCGAAAGACGTGGAGCGCCGCTGCGAGCGCGTGGTTGTTTGATTCCCAACGCACGAAAGACATACGGATGGAACCTTTTCCCAGGATGTGTCGGGCAAGGTTAAATATGACTTCAAGGATCCGGACGCCCTGCGCGTGCTGACGCAAACGCTGCTGCTGAAGGACTTCCAGCTGGACGTGGAGATTCCGGCAGACAAGCTGGTGCCTACGCTGCCCAATCGGCTCAATTACATCCTCTGGCTGGAGGATATCGTGCGCGCCCTGAAGCTGCCCAAGGACGAGACCGTTGTCGGCCTGGACCTGGGTACGTGGCGCCCGACGAGGCGGCGCTGTGACCTTTGTCGGGCGCAGGTGCCGTCTCGATTTCCACGCTCGGGAACGGAATCGTCTCTAGCGCTTCAACCAGCTGCTTAGATTGCGCTGTCTTGGCCGGACTCGGGAATGAATTGCCCCAACAATGACTTTCTCAGTGAGGTGCTGCCTGTGAGTGGCTGGTGCTCGAACCGTGGCGCCAGACTAGTTAGTTATTCAAACACTTACAAACTCCGGACAGGACCCATGAGCCCATTTGAGCATGACCCTGGAGCTGATTTAAGAACGGTCCGTTAATCAATTTCAGCATAACCATAGTGAGCTGATTTGAGCACGACCCACAAACCGATTTGAGCACGACCTGTGAACGTGACCTGATTGCGATGTCACATGATAAGAATAGTCGCCGATGCGCTGTCGCGATATTCGGCGCCTTGCGCACTGGTGGCAGATCCCACGTAGTGACAGGGTGACCTGCATGACTAGACTACAGGCACCATATGGCGTTACGTCCTCGTCCGTGCTCACTCATACATTGCGTCAAAGAGCGCTCCGCCGTCCGGCGTGTGTTCTGTTCACCGCATGGTGGAGTCGGCCCTGCCGCCAGCCGCACAGCGAGCGTGTAGGCGCGCGCGGCCGTCCCAGGCGCCGCTCGCCGCCAGTGAAGGGGCCCGGACGGGACGGCGGCCGTCCCCAGGCGCCGCTCGCCGCCAGTGAGGGGCCCGGACGGGACGGCGGCCGTCCCCAGGCGCCGCTCGCCGCCAGTGAAGGGGCCCGGACGGGACGGCGGCCGTCCCCAGGCGCCGCTCGCCGCCAGTGAGGGGCCCGGACGGGACGGCGGCCGTCCCCAGGCGCCGCTCGCCGCCAGTGAAGGGGCCCGGACGGGACGGCGGCCGTCCCCAGGCGCCGCTCGCCGCCAGTGAGGGGCCCGGACGGGACGGCGGCCGTCCCCAGGCGCCGCTCGCCGCCAGGAGGGGCCCGGACGGGACGGCGGCCGTCCCCAGGCGCCGCTCGCCGCCAGTGGAGGGGCCCGGACGGGACGGCGGCCGTCCCCAGGCGCCGCTCGCCGCCAGTGGAGGGGCCCGGACGGGACGGCGGCCGTGCCCTGGGACGCCGCGCCGCCAGTGAAGGGGCCCGGACGGGACGGCGGCCGTCCCCCAGGCGCCGCTCGCCGCCAGTGGAGGGGCCCGGACGGGACGGCGGCCGTGCCCTGGGACGCCGCGCCGCGGATGCCGTCGTCGCCCCGGTGTCGGTGCGTCGCTGGCAGGTGACCACGCTGGCCGCCGACAGGCACGGGCCCGTGTGCGGTGTACGCGCTGCTGGAGCCCGGCGCGGCTGGAGGATGGTGGCCACGGAGCGTGACGCCGACTCGCTGGCCGTGGCGCGCCGCAACGTCCAGAAGAACAGTCTGCAGCAGCTCGTGCAGGGTGAGAATTGAGGGACGGCGGGTGAAAGTGTCGACGTAATGTATGCAAATGGACTGACATATTTTTGTTCTGGTGTGCTTTCATTGACGCCGCACGCTGGTATGTACACACCACTTCTGCAATATATGCTGTGACGACCGTCCAGGTGCCGGCAGACGCGCAGCCAGACACTTTTTTTGGGGGGGGGAGGGGATGTTGGCTGTCCGGGTCTCCTTTCCAAGTGAGCCTCCCCCCCTTTTCCCACTAAGTCGACCCCCTGTCCACGTATGCCTTTTGAAAATCGTATTTCTTCCCGGATGCGGCCATTTATAGGTCTTGGCGATGGATGGCCCAAAATTGTTGTACGACGTTGGACAAATAGTTTCGGCAAAGCCATTCTGATGCACGGCAAGTTACGGCGAAAAGTCTTTCGATTTTTTTTTCGCGCACAGGATACAAAGTATGCCGCTATAGAATATCTCATACGTTAGAAAATGCTGAATTGCGGTTGGAAGTGTGAAATTTGAGAAACAGAGCTCTCCGATCAGAACAGTCAAGACCTTAGCGGGGAGACCCATCCAAGCAAAACACCCAACATGGATAACTGTATTGCCACACAGAGAAGCAGCGTAACATTTTGTTTCATGTGACCCAAAATGCTCGCTCACAATATCCCGTGCGACGTGCTCACAAAAGTTTTCGGGCGGATCACAATGCAGAGTTCAGCCATCTGTCAGTAGGGGTCTGGAATGGGCCTCTAGCTCTCGAGGGCGAGCCTCCTTCGAAGTGTTTTTTTCGGTCTCACAGATGACACTTCACGATTGTGCGTGTTAGCCTTACGTCAGGGGGCCATGCTAACACTGTTTGTGTCGTCCAAATTTTAGCCTACGTTCAGCCGGAGCTGGCACGGTTCCACAAATAACTTGCCTGACGGGTCTCGTGCCTCACCCTCCACCCAAGACAGCCGTGTCGAGATAAGCGCTCTTAGTGAACTAGAAGGGTGCTGCGGCGATTTTGCATCTCGATGTTTACACCTCGCTTGCTGGTCGTTTAGGTCATTCATACCCCTGGCGCTGTACTCGGCCTCGGGAAATGGGCCGCGGACCGCGCCAACCTGCAGCTTTTGAACCGCTAATACAGCGCGCTTGGAGCAGTTCCGGCTGCAGGCTCTTGAAAGTCGCCCTTGAACATTCAGCGTCTTTGATGGCCGTGTTTGAGACATCTTGAGTATAGCAGGGACATTCCATTACGTGACGTCAGTGCCAGGGGTCCCTTTTGGACTTTGACACAAATTGGATCAGCGGGCCATTTCCTGCAGGGCCCTCAGGTACCTGAGGGTGGCCTCGTGACTCCTCTCTGGTCCCAATGACCCCATAGCCCATCGTTTCTCTTACATCGGCATCTATTAGTGGGAGCCTGGGATTAACCGCAGCTCCGCTCGGTGAGCCCCTTTGAAGTGGGCCCCTTGGGGATTTTGCCTCATGGGCCTCTTTCTGCTGAATGGCCCGCGTAAATGAGTTCCCCCCGGACCAAGGGGGCCCGGGATTTTCCAAGTCTTCGTGCAGGGCCCGTTTGGCCTTTAACCTTCGGGACCCGTGAATGCCAGCTGGATACAGGTTTGCCGTAGAGAGAGTGCGCGCTAACGTACCGGCGCACGTGTTGCAGTGCTGGAGGCCGACGCAAGCCTCGTGACGGGGCCGCTGCAGTCGGCCGGGCCCGTCCACTTCACGCTCTGCAACCCGCCGTTTTTCGACTCTGAGAGTCCGGCGGAGGGCGGCGAGGCGCGCGCGCGCCGGCCGCCGCCCGCCGCCGCCGCCACCGGCCTGCTGCACGAGGTGGCGTGCCCGGGCGGCGAGCGGGCGTTCGTCGGCCGTCTGATCGCCGAGAGCCCGCAGCTGGCCGACCGGTGCCGGTACGGCAGATGCGTCCGCCGCCTCCCGGCCAGCGACGCCACAGCGCGCCGGCCTCAGGGCCTGGCTGGCGCCCTAGTGTGGGTCTGTCCAGAGCTGTGCTCAGGCTGGTGCAGCGTAGCGTACCATGGACGTGGGCCGAGTGAGATGTCAGTGTTATCATGGCCAGCATATGCTCACTGCCCTCGAAGCGCTCTTGAACGGCGTCTCAGTATTAGGCAGTCGGGACGGGATCAGACCCGTGTAGACGCAATAAGCCCGGCTGGCCCGGCGACAGACGTGAGCTCCCTGCTCTGCCGTCGTCTAGGGTGCGGTGGGGTGCAGTCGGCTCGTACAGTGGTGTACTTTCGACCTATGTAGTGGTATGGGGTCTGCCCAGACAACGGGGTACAGTCGGCCAATACAGCGGGGTACAGTCGCCGCCCTCAGAGGGTGCAGTCGGCCCATAAAGCGGGGTGCAGCTGGCCCATACAGCAAGGTGCAGTCGCCGCCTACGGAGGGGTGCAGTGGGCCCACATCCGTCGGCGCCGCGCTGTCAGCCTGGACTGCGAGCTGAGCCGGCCTCCTGCCGCAGCGTGTTCACCACGATGCTGGGTCACAAGTCGAGCGTGCGGCCGATGAAGCGACTGGCGTACGAGGCCGGCGCCGCCGAGGTCATCACCACCGAACTCTGCCAGGGCAACACCAAACGCTGGGCCATGGGCTGGACATTCCAGGCCGGCCTGGCGCTTGACCAGGTCAAGGGCATGAAGCAGGTGGGCTGCCGACGGCCATAGATACGTGTGAACTTCGGCGGGGAGCTGGTGCGGTTTTGTGGCCGTAGCTTTGGGTTTTGAGCGAACTGTGCGTTATATGCACTTGCTTATTATGGGTTCAGAGTTCTTACGCGGACAGTTAAGTTAGCAGCCTTCAATACACCGAGACGTACTGGTTAAACAGCATCAAACAAACGTTGGTTATGTTATCAGCGCTCGACGTTACACGTAATGCTCGTAGTCAGTTAAGAACAAGCTAACGTCAAGAAGAAGCTAGCATTACAAATTTTAAAGTTCATCATTTATGTTTTTAGGTTCGTGTAGAAATGGTTTCCTGTCCGTTGTGATGAACATTGATACATGCATTTGCATTTCCTTCTGTTCTAATACTCAATGTGGGTCTTCGAAACTTTTCGGCATAGCCGCCAGTGTTTTTGGCAGTCGTTTGCACAGTACCGTGTATTGGGTGTTCAGACGTGAGAGGCTCAAAAGCTGGGATGTTTTCTTATCTGGTGTTTAACATCTTTGCTTGACAACCTCGCTGAACGAGTACATCGTGATATTTTGAAGATCCATAACGGTATTCATTTGTGAAGTGTGAGCTCGTAATGCCGGGAAACTAGGAGTTCTAAGCCTTTACTCCCTACGTCATGCATTTGTTTATTTAGGAAAAACTTATCTCAGCCGACTTCCTTTCGACCATTTGACAGTCATTTGTCTTGACCTTGCTCTGGGTGTGTTTGGACGCTGGCCTGTTCCGGAAAGAGCGTTGATCCTTTTCAAAAACTTGTCGCCGTCGGACTGGTACAGTAGAGACGGGGGGGGGGGGGGGGAGGGGGAAGGGTGTTTGCGCACGTTCTCACCCCGTGTTCTGCGTCCTCAGACGAAGAAGCGCGCGCCGGTGCAGTGTGTAGTACCGCGAGACATGGACGGCATCCCTTACGACATCCCCAGTGTTAAGCAACGCGTGGTCGGCTGGCTTGAGGAGCTGCAGGTCAGACTAGACTGCCCCCCCAGCAGTCTGTGTTTGTCGTAAATTTCCCACTGGAGGAACGCCATCGTGTTTCCTGCGAATTCTCCACCGGACGAACGCCATGAACGCTGATGGAATGTAGCCAGTAAGGCACGATGACTACCACTTTTGAATGGTTGTCCGAATTCGACTTGCTGAGATTTCCTATGGCATGTCCGAGTTTTGCTTATGCCATACCGGAGTACAGGTCACGCGCAAGGTACGCGGTGGGCGCCTCCGCATCGCAGGAGGTTGGCCTGCGTATCTGTGTATGGCGCTAACGTGTCAACCGGCCGACCAACCCTGTGACCGCACGTGCGGCCGTTGGCAGACCGAGGTGGAGCCGGGCAAGTGCAACAAGTACTTTGCCTCATACAAGGTGACGGCGGCGGCCGACACGTGGACGCACAATCGGCGGCGGCGGCGCGCGCAGGAGCGGCTGGGCGCCACCTCCGACCTGGAGCCGTCGCCGAGCTCGGCCGAGCTGACCGGCTCGCCCGACCCCGACTTCGACCACGAGCCGGACGCCGAGCCAGGCTCCGACCTGTCTGACCTGTCTTGGCGCTCGGACACCGCCGAGCCACCGCCCAAGCGGCCGCGCGCCGACTCCGAGTCGGCCGAGCCAGCGGCGGCCGCGGCCGAGACCGGCCCGGCGGCCAAGCGGCCGTGTCTGGAGGCGAGGCTGGGAGCCGTGTCGCTGGCCGAGCCCAAGCCGCGGCCGGCCCTCGTCTTCACGCTGTTCGTGCAGAAGAAGGGTCACGATATCCTGCTGCAGATGACGCTGCTGACCGGCAAGCTGGCCATGGACGGCATGAACGGCGTGCTGCTCTTCCTGAAGAACAAGATGCGCCAGCGGCTGGTGATGAGCACGTCCTCCGGGCCGGCTGCTGGCGCCGTGCAGGGCAGCGGGGCCGCCGCCGGGCCGTCAGCAGCGGTGAAGGAGGGCATGGGCCGCGTGTTGCACCACCTGCGAGACAAGATGCGTCAGAAGATTCGGCTGGACTCGCCGGCCGCTGGCGCTGCCACGGAGCCGGCGTCACAGTCCGAGCCGGGCTCTGTCCAGACGGCCGGCGGAGCGACCAGCTCACCGTGACGGTCGGATGCTCACTCACCTCGGCCGGTGCCGGGCTCGCTAACGCGCGGCTGCCTCACATGCACCCTGTTTCATCTGGCGCATGAGAAGTTGCACAATCGTGTTGCCTCGGAGATGAGAGGGAACCGGGCTGTGTGGGAGAGCCTCTTTCTAGAGTCAATGTAGACCGTAGGGCACGTTGATTAATGGTTTCAGCGCGCCTGCTTCGTTCGGCCCAAAATGTTAAGAGGCTGAGCATGAACCGACCCTGCCGTTCAAAGATGAGCCCGCGTGTGCCACGTCTTAGGGCAAATCGAAAAGTTGAAGAGACTACGGTAACTGGTTGCGGTGCTCACACACCGATGGGTAACAGTGCCATTGGAATCACTCAAGGGCACAATGAATGCAACCCATGTCTTCTAGACACTATACAGCCCTTTTCCACAGTACACCATTTTCGCCAGTGTGAATACTTTTTTATTCAATCAATTGCATTTGTGTTCCGACTGACTGACTGATGTTTGCTATACGTGATCTACGTCGCGATGGATAAGCTGTTGTGAGGGTCAGAAGGATATGAGCACATTTGTTTTTGTTTGATGTGTCACGTTTTCACACGCAGTTTGGATTAACGTCCCAGCTTGTGTTACGCCCGAGGACGTTGATCCCAAAACTGGTAGGCATTGTCTCGTGCGGTTGGGAGTACAGCATCATTAGACAGGGACGGTTGAGAGACCATCTCCCGCCAGACGCAGACAGTCGAGAGATGTTTCCGTCAAACGCGGACAGCTGGAGGTCCAGCTTCTGTCATACACTGACGGCCGAGAGTCCAGCTTCTGTCAATCACGGACGGTCGGGAGTCCGGCTAATCAGGCGCGAACGTCCAGAAGTTCAGCTGCCGTCAGACGCCGACGGTCGGGAGTCCAGGTACCGTCAGACGCTGACGGTTGGGACAGTCCAGCTGCCGTCAGACGGGAGTCTAGCTGCCGTCGAACGCGGATGTCAGCACGGTGGTGCCACTCGCCGTACCGTCCCTGACGGCTTGCGGGGCGTCCATTATGCCATGTCCAATGAATGCAGTCATTTACTACTGGGCTTCAGGAGTTCGAACTGCGTTCCGAAGTAGCTTTCAGCTGGGTTCTTTTTGCGGCGTGTGGAGTAGTACTTTCCTGCTAAGAGGCCCTCGCCGTCCGCTCAGGCGTCACCAGAAATTCTGGAGGACGGTTCCGTGACACTGCTCTGTTAGTTAACGTCTCGCCATGCTCGCCTTCAAACCAAAATGGACCAGTGATTACATTGTTGCTCATGGCAGCCAATGCAGTGCACACGCGGCTGCGTAAGTCTTTGAACACATTGGCTGCGTGAGGTCGTCCTGCCATTTGTATGGGAGGTGTTCGAGATCACGCCCCATAATTGTGCGCAGCGAGCTTTTCTCAATCCCACGATTCCAAGATCTGCGTCTCAATGACGTCAGCGCGTCAGGGCGGATACGGACCACTTCACAGCTCTCATCCATGCTACAAGGTTGCGGATATTACACCCATCCTTGCATAGGTTTGTCCATCAAGATTGAGATCGCCAGCTCGGTTGAATATATTTCTGCGCCAAATTCTGTAGAAGCTCGTCGCAAAAGTTTGAACGAACGGCACTGGAGGTAAGGCTGGTCGCGGAACCAAATCTACTTTATGGATCACTTCGGTGAGGGAATAGTGGCGTACAGCTGTGGACAAATGAATATTAATGAAACGATCAACAGGGTGGACGCAGCTCTGTTCCACGCTCCACCCGATTTCTTTTAAGCTACGACCTGTTGGGTTGTGACTGGGTATGTGGTGAGACCGCGCCGTAAATGTTCTTCTGTGCGTACCGGAGGCTCCCGTTTCAGCAGACCACAGCTGACCCGCGGGCAGTCTACCCCACCTCCACAGACGGCAAATGTCGACAACTTTGGTGTTTCACGCGAGCTCGCAGCTATCAGCATGAACTGATCACCAAGAGTAGACTCGCTGCATTCAGAACTTGCCCTTATTACGGTCCTGTTGGGCCAGCGCGTGCGCTTCTTCGTCCCGGCTGTCTCGATCAGGTGCCACCGCCGACAATGTCTGCGCGTTTAACCAGGGCGTGGGAGTGGAAAAACTGGGCCCCCCGACATCTTACCACGCCGTGGACAGCTGTCAAGGGCGTGGCGACGGTCTGTACATCGTGTATTTTAGTGCGATAATTCGATAAAGTCAGCATAATCACTCCGCACGTCTGCTGTTCGCGCGTACTCAGCCACACACACACAGCTAGACACAGATACACACACACACGCATGGACAGACGTACAGACGGGTCCGGGCCGCTGCGGTCCCGGCCGGGCGCGGCGGCCGGCTCCCACCGGGTGGGCGCCTCGGACGTGTGCAGACTACAGTGTCGTTGTACTGCCGAGCTCTGCGGCCGGCGGCGCAGCCGGGCCAGGGACTCGGGGGGGGGGGGGCGGCCCGGCCGCCGCCGCCGGCCCAGGCGGCCCCCATACGCGCGCGCCGCTACACACTCTAACACGGACAGATATCACAAGACGTGGCGCACGGCCGGGGGCCGCTCAGAACACAGACTCGACCGAACGCGACAGCTGGATAGGGTGCGAGGGGCTGCGCGCCAGCCGCTTCTTGGGCAGCCGCTCCAGGATGACAAGCAGCTGGGTGAAGTCGGGCCGGTCGGCCTGGTGGTAGTTCCAGCACTTCATCAGCAGGTCCTGCCGGGCATGGAGCGGGCCGCCTGTCACGCGCCGGCTGCGCCCGATACGCGGACAGACGGCGGCGCCACGCTGCTCCTGACCCGCATCCATGCGACGCTCTCATTTACAGTGTGCTAACATCAGCATTGTGTCAGGGTCACCAACCCAGGCTGAACGCCCCGGAGGAGTGACCGTATTGTCGGCATCGAGCGGGCGTGAAAGGATGTGCTTTAGCTCGACAGTGAAAAGCATTTTTAAATGTGGACAAATGGATAAGATGGAGACGCCGAGTGAACACAATTTTGCACTTGACTTCTGGAGCGTTATTTTTCACGAACGTTGACAAGTTAAAAAACTGCACATGCACGCAGGCCTTCGTGCAATGAACACGAAAACTCGGCACTACGGAAGGCTGGACAGCGTGAGATGGACAGCAGATTACTTACAATGCAAACTTCAACTTCAACAAACAAAGCTTTAAACAATGCACTAGAATGCTCGTACAAGTGCACTGAATGCAATGAAGCATCGAGCAGCGCCGCAGGTGGTGCGCGGTGGCAGCCGGGCAAAACTCATCTTTAGGCATCTCACCAGCAGCTGATGCCACCCATGCGCCAACGGGGAAGCTCAGAACGACTGAGCTACCCAGTACACGGAGATGGCGCAGCGCCCCACTGAGCCAGCGCGGTGCGGATGTCGTGCGGTGCGGTGCGGTGCGGTGCGGTGCGGTGCGGTGCGGTGCGGTGCGGTGTGGTGTGGTGTGCGATGCGGTGTGGTGTGGTGCGGTACCGGCGGCGGCGGCAGGCGACGTACCTTGACGTCGCGCGAGGCCTGTATGTTGGCGAGCGACTGTTTCATGCCTCGCCCCACCAGCCAGATGGTGGCCTCGGCTGGCTGGTCCTTCCAGGGCCACTCACCCGACAGCAGCTCGTACCACACCGTGCTGCCGGCGGCGCAGGGCAGCGTTACACTTCCGGCCGGCACACGCGACTCAGACGGCTACCACATCATGCTACAGCGCCCAAAGTGTCGTGGTTTACAATTCTGCGTTAACCGCTGCGTGTCTGGGAAACCGGAGGTACGGGATTCGATGCTCAGCGGTGCCTGGCCTTCCCGTCATGGTGAGAGGCAGACGAGGCCACAGAGCCTAACAGCTGCGCGTGTCGTAAAGCTCCAATGACGACGACAACCACATCATGCTGCATCATGCGACAACCACATCATCTTCCCGAACACTGATGCCCCTCACCCGTCCTTTCCATCTGTGAGCACGATGACCCATAGGAGACAAGAGGCTAATATTGACCATGCACGCCCCACACGTGCGCTTGAGACCATCTGACGTCTTCGGTGGGTCGACACCCCGGGGCGTCCCGAGATCTGACGTGTTCGGTGGGTCAACACCCCGGGGCGTCCCGAGATCTGACGTGTTCGGAGGGTAGACACCCGGGGTGTCTCGAGACCATCTGACGTGTTCGGTCGGTAGACACCCCGGGGTGTCTCGAGACCATCTGACGTGTTCGGTGGGTAGACACCCCGGGGCGCCTCGAGACCATCTGACGTGTTCAGTGGGTCGACATCCCGGGGCGTCCCCAGCATGTCTTACAGTGCAGTTGACTGCAGGCGGCGAGATTTAACGTCTGCTATCGTGGATGCAGCTCACACGGGCTGCCCAGAATATGTCACGTCTAGCTGTCAACTATGTGACGGCCGTCGATGGTAGAACTATCCAATTCCCTTCATCAATTTAAACTACTTTCCACCAAACTACCAACTGTGCCTACACCGTCCGCTCCATCTCCAACTGCGGTATCCCCCTGCACGTGCCCGTGCCGTCCGCTGCGCCGAGCGTCGTCAGGGCCCGCGGCGGCCGGACCCACTGACCCGAAGGCGAAGACGTCCGAGCTCATCGAGAAGGGCAGGTCTCGGTTGTCGCCGGGCCGCAGGCTGCGCACGATCTCCGGACTGAGGTAGCAGAGCCAGCCCTTCGGGATGTGCAGGCGGCGCCGATGCCTGCCGCATGGCAGCCCGCTCACGTCAGGTCAGGCCAGATCAGGTCAGGTCAGGCGACGGCCCACCGGACGCCCAGCACTTGATGTCACACGTGTCAACACACACGAGGGCCGTGGATTAGAGGATACGTCTGTCCAGACGCTGCAGAGTGCACAGCTGTGTTGTAACGGAGTCGGAGTCAGCGGCTGCGGGCAGACCGGTGCACACATCCGTGGGAAGCCACAGCACGTGCTCAGGTTACCACCCAGCTCCACACACACACACACACACACACCACTGATGGCATTCCAACACTTTAAAAATGAGGCAGCTGCCGGTGTCTTTGAGACGTTGCGGAGATATTGCCAGCGCGCTGTCACCACAGCGTGGCAGTGGCGTGGCGGGGAGTGGAGGCGAGCCGCCGCGTGCGCAGCCCCGTCCGCCCGCTGCGAGCCAACCACGAGCCACAGCCCAGCGCCGGCTCACCCGGAGTTGGGGCAGAGCTTGGTGAGCGAGAACAGGCCGAAGTCTGTGATCACCACTGTGCCCGAGTTGTCCACGAAAATGTTCTTCGACTTGAGGTCCTTGTGCACGATGCCTCGGGCGTGCAGGTAGCCCATGCCCTGGCGGCGACACGCGAGCACACCGGTCACGCGCCGCCCGCGGACGGCACAGCGCTGCCTGCAGCGCGGCGCCGCCACCACAGCAACAGCCACCAAACAGAGCACGGATGTGAGAGACACGCTTACGAGGTGTCGGTAGCCCCCTCTCCCCCGGCTACCGAACAGAGCAGGGGGATGAGAGCCACGCTTACGAGGTGTCGGTAGCACTCCCCGCCTCCCCCTCTCCCCCGGCTACCGAACAGAGCAGGGAGGTGAGACATGTGCTTACGAGGTGTCAGTAGCCCCCCTCTCACCCGACTACCGAACACAGCAGGGAGGTGAGAGCAACGCTTACGAGGTGTCGGTGGCCCCCCTCTCCCCCGGCTACCGAACAGAGCAGGGAGGTAAGACATGTGCTTACGAGGTGTCAAGAGCCCCCCCCCCCCCCACCCAACCCCCGCCTCCTCCGGCTACCGAACAGAGCAGGAGGATGATAGTCACGCTTACGAGGCGTGAGGGATCTCCCGCTACGGTCGGCGGCCATACTGACCAGCGATATGTGTTTGGCGATGTTGCTGATCTTGGTGAGGTTGAACTTCTCCTTATGCGTGTGCAGCAGGGCGAAGAGCGGCTTGCCCTTGCAGTAGCTGGTGATGATTGCCAGCTGCGGCGGGCACATGCAGGCGCCCATGAATAGCACCAGGTTCTCGTGACGCGTCTTGCGGAACGTAGCCACCTGCGCAAGTGCAAGCAGGACGTGACGGTGGCGCCGCACACCGGCACAAGCCCACGCAGCGCTCTGCTACATCACGGGCCTAAGCCAACAGCTGTCACCCCCGCGGCCCATCTGCATACCCGAACGCATCTGTTTTGTTAGGGCCATAAGAGGCTCCATACGGTGTCTCCGCAGAATTACAGTTCATACAATTGATCAGCTGATCAGAGACGTTGTCGCGCACACAGGAACAAAACGCTGCGTTTTAGGCGGCCCGTGAGCACACCTGCCGCACGTGCACGCCGCGCAGCTCACGGTACGGGGCGCCACTCACGTCTCGCTTGAACTGCTCCAGCGCCTCCTCGTCGTTCATGTTGAGCAACTTAACGGCCACCTCGCCGTGCCAGTGGCCCTTCTTCACCTCGCCGAAGCGGCCGCGACCGATCACCTCGCCCACCCGCACCTCCTCAAACGGAATGTCCCACTCCCGCAGCGACAGCTGAAACGGCGGCGCGGCCCGGGTCAACATCGGGCCGACACAGGCGCACTATCAGGCCCACCCGCACCTCCTCAAACGGAATGTCCCACTCCCGCAGCGACAGCTGAAACGGCGGCGCGGCCCGGGTCAACATCGGGCCGACACAGGCGCACTATCAGGTCCCACTTCCGCAGCGACAGCTGAAACGGCGGCCCAGCTTGGGTCAACATCGGGCCGACACAGCCGCACTATCAGGTCCCACTTCCGCAGCGACAGCTGAAACGGCGGCCCAGCTTGGGTCAACATCGAGTCGACACAGCCGCACTATCAGGTCCCACTCCCGCAGTGACAGCTGAAACGGCGGCCCAGCTTGGGTCAACATCGAGGCCGACACAGCCGCACTATCAGGTCCCACTCCCGCAGTGACAGCTGAAACGGCGGCCCAGCTTGGGTCAACATCGAGTCGACACAGCCGCACTATCAGGTCAGCGGCAGCTTACAGCGGACAAATCCACAGAGCGCCGCTTGTATTCCCTTGACCACACATCTGACGGTCCCCATCCGCACTTGCTCACTGTCCTGATGTGGTGCACCCTCGTCCCTGCCGTGGGCAAGGTCTCACACCAGCTGCCACACCAGCCGGGCACCCCCGGGTCTGGCCAGGCGCCGCGCTCACGCTGGGGCACCCCCGGGTCTGGCCTGGCCCCGCACTCACGCTGGGGCACCCTCGGGTCTGGCCAGGCCCCGCACTCACGCTGTTCTGCCGCGGCATGCCGTCCGTCTCGGAGACGGTCGAGTCCTGCGAGTCGAGTCGACTGGCCACGGTGCGCTCCGAGTCGGTGGACGTGCTGGCCGACGTCTGACTCATCGTCTTGTCCGAATCCTGCGAGCCGACCGGCGGCGGCTGCGCGGCCGCCGGCGGCGGCGGCGGCGGCGGAGGTGGCGGCGGCGGCGGGGGCGGCGGAGGCGGCGGCGGCGGCGGCAGCGGCTCGACGGTGACGCCGGCCGGCTCGGCCACCTCTGGGAAGTTGAACTGCTGCAGGCGCGACGCTGACGCCGGCGGCGTCGCCATCGGGAAGGCCGGACTAGACGGCGCAGAGCTGTTGCAGCTGGACGTATTGCTGCTAGAGTCCTGGCCCTGCCGCACGCAAGCGCCCCCTCAGGCACGGAACAAGCGGACGCAGGCACTTTGGTCCGGCACGTTGTGGGAGGGCCAGACGGTGGGCCCCTGGGCGCTAAGATGACCAATGCAACCGCAGGCGCTCCGTAACAGGCGTGACAACGTGCATCGCGTTCTTTTTTTACAGACACCAATTTAATTAATGAATTATCTCCGGTTCAAACACCCTCTGAACCCACTGGCCTTCTTCTAGTTCCCAACCGATCGCCCGGTCAGAGTGCGTACAGGACGGGTCCAACAGCGCGGCTACGATTCACCGGCCTGAGTGCGGCCTCACCTGGAATGCCGGGATGCTGATGCTGGAGTTGGTGTAACCGTGGTGCTGTTTGTAGTGAAGATACCCGGAGCTCTGGCTCTTGCGCTGACTTTTCGGCAGCAGGGGGGAAGCGTTACCCTGCGACATAGGGCGTCCAGACGGGCGTCACGGCGCAGCCGGCACCATCAAGCAGGCGCCAGTGGGCACGAGCAGAGCCGGGGTCACGAGCCAGGCCGACGCCGGCGGCAATCGCTGCAGCTAGACACACACACACTCAACATACACAAGCATACACAAGCTCAACATGTTGCGTCGAAGGCCAGCCGCGCAGCGCAGTCAAAGCCCACCTGATTATTGACTTGGTCGATGAAAAAGTCGACGAACTTCCTGGGCAGACCGCAGGAGGGCGGCACTTGCTCCTCGCAGTGCCGGTGGCACTTGTACTTGCACTCGCGACACCGCAGACCTGCAGGCGACAAGGACAGCGTCACGGACCGTCCAGCCAGGCCCTGACCGGACCGGACCAGGCCAACAGGCGCGGCCCGTACACCGACGGCACCTGACGCGGCGGCCAGGCCGGCGGCGGCGGCGGCGGACGCGGCCCGGCTACAGAGCCAGCTCCGCCGCCCACCGCACTCCACGGAGCCGCCGCCTCCCAGCCAGCTCCGCCGCCCACCGCACTCCACGGAGCCGCCGCCTCCCAGCCAGCTCCGCCGCCCACCGCACTCCACGGAGCCGCCGCCTCCCAGCCAGCTCCGCCGCCCACCGCACTCCACGGAGCCGCCGCCTCCCAGCCAGCTCCGCCGCACACCACCGGCATCGTCTGTCACGCACCGCCGCCCACCGCACTCACTCACCGTAGATCATCTGCTTCTTGCAGCAGTCGCAGGTAGACACCTTGAACGTCTTGGTGAACTTGTGCGCGATCACGTGGCTCATGCTGCCGGGCAGCGTGGGCGTATGCGGAGAGCGGGGCACCTGCAGCGTGGTCGCTGCCGGGCGCGGACCGAACGTCACACACTGCGCCGAAGCACAGACAATCATGCAACAACCACACACATAGCCACTCGGAGCAAAAATATGCCATACAAATGATAATAGCGGCAGCTTTTTTGAAGAATGCCCGGACCTTTGCATGACAAAATAAGCGATCATGATGTTGATATCTCGAAGCACGATCAACATTATTGTACAATACAGGACGCTTTCAATAACCTTTTACTTCCCTTTTCAACGTCGCGTCCTTCGGTCATAATCAATGACACGCCGGAAGCTTGCGTACGGCGGTTAATGAGCTCCACCTGCAGCGGGCTTCTGTGAGGTGGCCGAGTCGGACGTTCACGCGTCACACGCTCGTCTGCCGGCCATCCGCCACCTATCCGGTATATGCCGGGATCGCCTGCGACTCACACTTGGTGGGCGTCTGGGCGGCCGTGGAGGGCGAGGGGCTGGCGGCGGCTCCCGGCGACCTCACGGCCGCCTCCTGGGCCTCCGACGGCTCAGAGTCGCCGCTGGCGCCGGAGACAGCGGCTCGGATCAATAACGCCAGCACAGCACGGCACACAGACAGCCACCATCTGAACTAAAGCACCCAATATTGTGATAGCATGGGTAACCTTGAGCAAACAATAGTATTGGCCGCACTAGAATGTGTTGGCACCAGGCCTGGTTACTGCTTCCTTATTATGTGTTTTGCGTGATGTTACCTTAACCTGACATTTTCATCATGGGGCCCTACGACGCACTCAGCTGCTGAGGCTACATGGCGTCACCTGCCTCTCCCCCTGGCAGGAAGGGCGGGCACCGCGGGGAATCGAACCCCGTACCTCTGGTTTCCCATGCGCGCAGGAGTCTAAGCAGACGTGTTAACCACTACACTATCGCCACCCTACCTCAACCAAACGAGCGGCTAGGCAGTCCACGGGTGACCTGGGGCTTCACCCGTGGTCACCATCAGGTCACCCACCGGTGACCTGAGCCTTCAGGCCGCGCAGCTTACCGTGGCTGGGCGGCGTCTCCAGCAGCCTGCAGCCGGCCCGTCAGCTGGCTCTCGTGAGAACGTGACTTGGTGAGCGTGGCCGGGTCGCCGGCCGCCTCGCGCAGCCCCGTGTGATGGCGGCGGCTGGCTGACGGCGTGGCGCCGTCTGCCGACGCGGCAGCGACAGCGTCCGGTCACGACACACACGGAGATACAGACAGCAGACACACACGCGCACGAGAAGACACACACGGTATGAACGTTCGACACACCGTGCCGACGCTCATGTAACCAGTACAGTAGTGACGCACAGACAAACGAGCACGGGGAGGGGGGGGGGGGGGGGGGGCGGAGCTGCAGGCCAGCAACGGACGCGGTCGGGGAGCTGCAGGCCAACAACGGGAGACGACACTTGTCTCTCGGCTCCCAAACAGTCATCCCGGCGCCATGGCGGGAGTGGCAGAGCTGGGGATGGACAACACTGCCATGTCCTCAGGGCATGTCAGAGCATCGCTGCCCACCTCCTGACATGGAAGCCGAACGCTGGCTGAGCCCACGACAGGAGGCCCCTCTCGGCTCCACCCTCTCCAGCACGACACAGGGGTCCCGAACACAACACGGCAGGAGGCCGTCTCGGCTCCACCCTCTCCAGCGCGACACCAGAAATTCGAACGCAACACGGTGGGAGGCCCGTCCCCGCTCTCCATCCTCTCCAGCGGGACACTGGAGACCCGAACACCGGATCGCGCCGCATGGTTTCGGTCCGCAACGGATCTCTGCTTTCAACTGCACGTCCGCCAAGACTCATCTCGTGGCTGGAGCCCTGCAACGGCACAGCGTAACCCTGGGCCGCGGTACACGCGTAGCAGACACCACACGCGTGTCGCCGACGGCAGGGCGTGCGCGCACGGCGCGCCGTACCTCGCGCAGTGCGGCCCAGCGGCGGCGTGCGCGGCGGACTCGTCTCGCCCACCGGCAGGCTCTGCGTCAGGTCGCTGAGCGTCGACTGCGTCTGAGAGTGGCACGATGACTCGGACGGCGTCGGTGCCGACGACTCTGACTGCTGCGTCTCGTCCGACGACGACACCGACGACCTGCGACGAGACGGCGAGTCAGGCGCGGCGCTCCGCGCGTCACACCATGGACATCCCGCTAAGGACATCCTCGTCGCCACCGGTACCGGCGTGGCCCATGATCATCACAACACACCAAGCGCTCATTATAAGGGCTCTGATGCTGAGAGGCTAAGGCCAGGCGCGCTGTACTATTCCCAGCGGAGGACGCCGGACTGGTGCCCGAGGGAGAAGACCCCGGCTGAGAGGATGAGAGGGGGGGGGGGGGAAGGGGAGGAGGGCAGCACAGATGCTCCAGCGCGTGCCGATCTGCAGTCTGTTGCCGACGTCAAGACCAGTCCGACGCGTTGATCTGTAGACGCAGTCACCTCCCGCAGCAGTCTCCGCACTGGGCGCCGCTCTGCTCTTGCACGCAACACGGCGCGTCAGAGCCCGCGGCGCTTTACAGAGCGGCCGCAGCGAGTGCGGCGGCTCAGTAGAGCGTGTCCGCACCTGGGTCTGCGCCGCAGACTGGGCGACGACGCCTCCCAAGAGTCCCAGTACAGCGGCAGGTCCGGACTGCTGTGCGCGTCACCCACCCCTTGGCTCTCTGAAAACCAACAACGTGGCGTCACCAGCTGCTCTGGTCATCACCGCGTCAGACAGCACTAGGCGTGCTTTCCAGGGGCGGAAGTTTTCCACCGCATATCTCACGGACATGCTTCGACCCGTCCGAACTGCCACCAGGTCAAAAAACAAAAAGCTGTGTCCTCATCATTTACATATGCTTCTTAGCTGTCACGAGTGATGTGATCAACAGCGCCCTTGTGTTTTAAAACGTGGTAACGAAAACACGTGTTATTTGGACCCGTTGTAAATTGACAATAACGTACACTAGCATCCGCATTATGGAGGCAATTAATGCAGATACTGGTGTATGTTACTCAGCAGTATCTGTATACCATGGCAAGACCTGGCCGTCAGCTCGGCAAACAAAAGCTAGTGTGACAAAAGCCACCTACAGGTGCACAACCAAACCTATCCTCTGCATCTGAATGGGGGCAGAACATGCAACATAATGCAAGATCAATATAGGCTGTTCAGGTACGACCCCCAAATCCCCGGCCCAAGTGACTATTTTGTTATGTGAGTGTTGAGGAATGTTACACCAGCATTTAAACCAAGTGTAGGGAAAACGCAACTCTAGAGGAAATATTTCTCAGGGAAACTGGCTGCACTAAACCTCAACAAACATCAAATGTGAGTTGCTGTTGAGCACAACAGCTGAAACCAGAATCAGACGTTTACTTACAGGGAACGAACCCCTGGCCGAATCGTGACCCGCGACTGACCCGTATACTTCCGCATGTTGTGCATGGCGCGGCCGAGACGGCGCACGTCGTCGTCGAAGCCGGCCGGCGGCAGCACGCCGCGCAGCTCGGCCTCGCCACTCTCCACCAGCGCCTCCATCGAGCTGTACTTGCAGCACACCATCTGCGGCACGGCGGCGCAGCGTCAGCGGGCCGGCGCCGAACGATGCCGCGAGCTCCGCTCCAAGGCGAAGAGCACGGCTGAGCGCACAGCACAGAATCATGGCAGACACACACCTGATGACAGGTGCACTGGACCATTACAGCACAGACATCACATACTGATGGGAGACACTCACCTGGTGACAGATGCACTGAACCATTGCAGTACAGACATCACAGACTGATGGGAGGCACTCACCTGGTGACAGGTGCACCGAACCATTAGAGTACAGACATCACAGACTGATGGGAGACACTCACCTGGTGACAGGTGCACCGAACCATTACAGCACAGACATCACAGACTGATAGGAGACACTCACTTGGTGACAGGTGCACTGAACCATTGCAGTACAGACATCCCAGACTGATGGGAGACACTCACCTGGTGACAGGTGCACTGAACCATTAGAGTACAGACATCACAGACTGATGGGAGACACTCACCTGGTGGCAGGTGCACTGAACCATTAGAGTACAGACATCACAGACTGATGGGAGACACTCACCTTGGTGACAGGTGCACTGAACCATTGCAGCACAGACATCACAGACTGATGGGAGACACTCACCTGGTGACAGGTGCACTGAACCATTAGAGTACAGACATCACAGACTGATGGGAGACACTCACCTGGTGGCAGGTGCACTGAACCATTAGAGTACAGACATCACAGACTGATGGGAGACACTCACCTGGTGACAGGTGCACTGAACCATTGCAGCACAGACATCACAGACTGATGGGAGACACTCACCTGGTGACAGGTGCACTGAACCATTAGAGTACAGACATCACAGACTGATGGGAGACACTCACCTGGTGACAGGTGCACTGAACCATTAGAGTACAGACATCACAGACTGATGGGAGACACTCACCTGGTGACAGGTGCACTGAACCATTAGAGTACAGACATCACAGACTGATGGGAGACACTCACCTGGTGACAGGTGCACTGAACCATTGCAGCACAGACATCACAGACTGATGGGAGACACTCACCTGGTGACAGGTGCACTGAACCATTAGAGTACAGACATCACAGACTGATGGGAGACACTCACCTGGTGACAGGTGCACTGAACCATTACAGTACAGACATCACAGACTGATGGGAGACACTCACCTAGTGACAGACACATTTAACTATCACAGCTCAGATGATACACAGCAATGTTAGTCACTCGCCTTGACACCACCATCACAGCACAGACAGCGCAAGCTGGGATGCAAGGCACTCACCTCGACTGCAGATGGGCTGAGACCCACAACCTTAAGCCAGAGCTGCATTGATGGGTAGCCATCACAGCCAGATGCCTCCAAGTCATCATTGGGGATGCGGGACTTGGCCAGAAGCTGACTGCTGAACAACTTCACCAGCTTACCCTGCCAAAGGTATGACATTCAGTCGCTGCACAACCCCGACATGTACAGATGTAATTAAAAAAACATGCTGGTATAGGGCCCAGACAATGGCCAACAAGTATAAGACAACTGCTGCCACCAGATTGAGCCAAGTCTTTCCAGAACCTTTCCTGACACATTCAAGAAATGTAACAAGATAACAAACAATGGTATGCAACAAGTGATACCAACCTACATTCTTCTGATTTATGTGACAAGCTAAGAAACACAGACATGTAACAACTGATACTAACCTCGATTCTTCTGATTTCCTGCTGTGTCAACACTGCACTTGTCAGGCACTGGGTTCTCAGCCCTTCCAAATGCTCAGCTGATATTTCAATCAAACTTTGCAAGTTTGTGCACCATTCTATTGCCTGAAGGGTGCTCTGCTCTACATCTTCTTCACTCATCTCTTCTTAGATCAAAACATCAAGGACACAGTGTACCCAATCTGATAGCATCAACAGCAACTGCTGAAAACCAGCATCAAATTACTGTGTCCTCAAGATCACAGAGATTAATCTCAAGAAAACCTGATTGAATAAATATTACATGTAAATCTTAAAGAATGCAGGTAGGCTTCATCTTTTCAAACATCTCTTCACAACCCTTTCTCTTCTGATGAGATCAACCTGACAGGGATAGTAGAGTATGTTTAAGGTTGTAGCTAATAAAAAATCATGCCAATAAAAAATCTGTATGATCATTCAAAATGCCTTTATTTTTTTTACAAAAAATGCCACTTTGGTTCTTAACTTTTGGGAAGTAAATGGAATGGGATAAAATGTAGCATGCTGGTCAGTAAATGGGATCAACATTAGCATGTAGAGACCACACAAATACATACACATGTGCATACATTCACACAAGCCAGCAGTACAGGCTTACCACACACCCTGGTGAACAGTTGGATACACCTTGCTCAGGTAGGGGGTCAATTTGACTTCCCACAAGATCTCAGGAATTAAGAGAGCTAAAGACACCAAATTCACATGGTGTGTTGGCCTGTACATAAACTCACTTAGGTCACAGTTTAAGGCTCTTTGGTTGTGAACTTCAGGTGAAATAAGGTCAAGCAAGGTCAACCTATGAGTTGGTCTAGAGGACTGAAAATCACTTTTTTCAACCAAAAATTTGTTGGTTCCCTTAAACCTAGATCCATGTTCTAAGCAAAAAATACATGCTCATTCAAGGTCAGTGACCCCTTTTCACCTTTTCAAGATCATGGTAGCCAAAATCATGCAATACTGATCTGAGTTTTGCATTGGTACATACATACATACATGGTCATATATGTGTGCACTGTGCACCATACATACATGGTACATACATTGATAGCAAATAACATGAACACATTCTTTTATAAAGTAGTCTTAATGAATTGGATAATGCTCATGACTATGATTTGGGCTTTGGGATGATGAATGCCTGCTAAACTTTATGCTATCAGGAAGGCCAAACACAATTTTTTTCAAGGGAAATACACACAAATTATGAGCATCTTTAGGCCCTGTCCCAAGTTTTGCTGGTAAACATCCATATCATCCATTTAAGGATATAAAGCAAGTGTTCCCTAGGTATACCTACTCATGAGTGATCATAGCTTTCAACTATAATTCACAGCATCAGATTGCAATAAATGTCAGATGGAGAGTTTGATACAAAGGTGGCAGACTTCATCAATCTATAACAGATTCTTTCTCATAAAATTCACCATAATGCCTAACAACAAGTATAGAATAAAAGAAAAAAACACAAGAAACTTGCATTTGCCATGCCTTATTAACCAAGCCTTATCACCATGAATCAAGTTTTTCAGGCAGTAAATCACATCCAAATTTGGAAACTGCTGCCACCATGAAAATGATACAAAACCAGCAGGCCTGTCTCTCTATGCAACTTTCCCCAGGGAATCAGTCCAACCAGATGCCAAAATGCAGTACTGAATAGGCAAGTTTAGATGATGATTTTGAGCAACAAAATGCATCTACTCGAATCGGCAGATATTTACAAGAAGAACAAGGCACTAGGTGACTAATAACCCACCTGCCTAAATGCACTTTTGCTAAAGTTGAGGACTGTGCTCAGACCTGACCACGAGCATGTCGATAGTGCAAGGTGGAGCACTATGGAGCGTATTCATGCGCCTTCTCATGTAGCAGTGCTGCCTGTGCACATTCCGAAAACCTTACCGAAACTCTTCAGGAAACCTATGCAGCCACGCACTTTGACTCCACAGGGACTGCTGGTATATCATTTCATATTTTAATATTCACACCTAACCCGTAGCAGCAGTCAGCTGTTGGTGGACGCGAAAAGATGGCTGTAGTCATTCGCATTTGTCGCATTTGTATTTTTGGTACATTTGTTCAAGCATTTCACGAATTCATATTCGAAGTCTCACTAAAGTTATGCCATTCTGGACGTTTTGTCCTTTGGCGAGCTACTATGACGGATGAACAAACAAGATCACACAAATATAGTTAAATGTTTAAACCACACCACAACTGCACATTTTCCTTGAATAACTTTATGAGCTGATAGCTACATAGTGGTTAACCTTTTGCAACATGCAATGAGCAGCCTCCACTAGGCATTGTGCATTGGACAATGTGTGCTCACGCAGCTCACCTTCAAAAAGAACACAGATGACCAGAAAGAGAAAAAAAACGAAAGTTTTTGTGATCTGTGAACATGCTTTGACACATGTAAGCACAAAACCGTGATACCCTTCATTGACCTTGAATTTGACTCTAGAGTTGCTCAGCGCTATAGCATCTTATAGTTATAAATTTTTGCGCAATTCTTTGAAGTTATCAACTGCACGAAATTTGATAATGAGGTTGCACGATAAAATGTTATATTTACTGAAGTGAAATTTCAGTTCATGCAGTTTCAGTTTAACGCAGGTTGGATTTGATGATGAACTCAATTACGAGGGTCCTTGGCTATGGTCTCAAGTCTGAAAATTCATGGTCCCTGGGCGTTTCATGCGAATTGGGGCCGGAGGTGCGGGCGGCGATTGGTAGACTATTGCTGGCCTGGCGGTTGCAATCTGGTGAAAGTGCTGTTTAATATATCGACGCGAAGACTCTTGTCGCCATTAACGCCTCTTACATTCTCCAGAATTTAAGTGGCGTCTGCCAGTCTGTGATGGTAAGATCCGACAATTTTACTGAATATACTTCAAGCCGCAAAAATGCATGCGTTGTCATACGTGCACGGCCGAGCATATTCAGGTTGAGAGTGGAATGTGTCCTCATCAGAATCTACCACTATTGGGATTTCTCGCCTGGCATGACAATGTAAATAAATATTGACTTACATTGGCATGTCAAAACACATGAAAAAACATTTTTAGAATTAAATGTTTTGAACATGATATCAATATCAGTGCACCAGTTTTAGTACATTTGTGCTTAAAGTCTCAGAAATCAGAGTTGGTACATAATTACCACCAATTTCAGGGCATATACAGCCAACATGTGAAAGACTTATTGTGTTGTAAAGAAAATCAGATGCAAAAATAGTCTGAAAATTTAGCACAGGTTGACCTCATAATAGTTTGGTGTATGCAAGTAGAAGATCCTGCTCCAAGACAATATGTAGGTGTTTGATACCAATGGATGATTTTCTTGTATACCTGAATATAGTTAAGTCATTCTCCCTGTGAGACTAAATGGGTGGCTGCGTTGCAGATAGAATGACAAGCCACTCCCCCTGTGAGACTAAATAGGTAATTGCATTGCAGATAGAATGACTGTTTTTGTAGCATTATTATCTTGTGTTTGTGCACTTAATGTTATGGTACATAGGGGTGTAGCTTCCTGGAAGGGAATGCATTTTCAGAAGTATTATATGGATGTGTTTAGCCATTTTCTGCTGCTCAGCTTCCAGCTGACCTGTTAAGTGAAACTGCCTACATATTTGGTATGGTGAGTGCAATAGAACGGCAGGGCAAAATATCTATACCATTGCATTGTTGTGATTCATTTTTGTTTACAATGCTGCAGCTGGATAACACATTCATTCATATTCCCTTGCAGGTAGTCTCTTAACAGGGACCAGCACAGTTTTTGTTGTAATGCAAGGGTTCATAAGCACTGGAAATGCCATCAAGTGCTATGTTGCCAGACTGCAAAAAAATGCAGGTTATGCTCTACATGTCTAGTATAGTAATGATGTTTAGGCAACAATTTCAGAGCATGTGCACCATAAATTTGAGTGCTAAAAGCTGAGTGCATGAGTGCCACCAAGATTAGAGTATAGGAACAAATTTTGTAGGGAATTATGAGCAATATGTATGAAGTGCATCAGGCTCAGCTCACAGACATTGAGCAGGTACCCAGAAAATTGGTTGGATTGTTTCAGACTAGTGGCAGAGAAGGCATGGTTCCATTCTGAGTCCCAGATATCTTATCAATATGCCTGTGACCTGTTGATAGGCAGCTGGCAACTGGCTGATATGGAAGTGAGCTCAAGCCATGCCTAAGGTATTTCCCAAGTACCTCAATATACAGGATATATTTTTGCACTTACCAGGGTAAAATTACTGCGTGGGAAGCACAGCATGGCAAATGGCTCCTTATATGGTTGTAGAGGAAGTGTGAGATGAATATCTACATTTGACTTGTCCTGAATGCACTGCACACACAAATTGTATTACATAGCAATTTTTCAGTGAAAGAGTAAGAAGTACCAAAGGGATCATATGGAGTTGCATATCTCCTATGACTTTTCACTAAAAGGTTGATAGGGTAATTTTATTTGCTGGCTCCATGACAGATGACATATTGCATGCTGTTGAATGAATATGTTTGTATTTGATATGTATATGCTGATATAATTGTCAATGTCATGCTCAGGAAACCTTCTTCTGGTCCCATTGTTGTAACAAACCCATTTTTTGTTCAACAGGATATGGATAACAGCATGAAGCAGGTGCTGGAAGGCCAGCTGTCCAAATACACCAATGTGATGAAAGGCTGGCAGTATAGATGGTTTGTCTTAAACCCTGAGAGTGGAACTCTGAGCTACTTTATGGTGAGCTTCAGCACATGCACATGGATACAGGGGGGTGCATTGCTGCTTAATAGAGGTGAATTTTCTGTACTGGTAACTTAGAAGAAGAATGAGCCTCAATTCTGCCATGCAAATTCAAAGCAACAGAGACCTTATTGTTACAGCATGTGACCTGTGGCCTTGGCTTTTCATGATAACATTGTTCAATGAACGAGAGATTTTATTTTAGTCCATTTGATTTAGTCCCTTAGCTATCAAGAGAGGACAATGCCAAGGTGGTGAGGGCTCTACCTGAATGTGTAGTGGTCTAATTTAGGGATACGTTTTGTCCATTCTTCTCCTTGCTATGATTTGCTAAGATGGCAGCTTTCACCTGTATTGTCCAGTGCTCCAGCAGCATCCCTGTCTCTGCCCCCACCTGTGATCTATCACCTGGCATGGTGACACTGCACTGCCGCCCCTGGTGACAGTGCTGGACACATGCCTCAGGTGGACGAGCAGCGATCGAGCCGGGCGCGTGGCTCGATCCACCTGGCCGGCGCCGTGGTTTGCCCCAGCGACGAGGACTCGCACACATTCTCGGTCAACTCGGCGGCCGGCGAGCTGTACCGCCTGCGCGCCTCCGACGCCCGCCAGCGCCAGCAGTGGGTCGACCGACTCCGGCTCGTCATCGAGATGTTCAACCGCGTTCAGGCCGAGGTAGGGGCGCCGACCGGCAGACACGGCGGCCAGATCTGCCGCTGCGCTTGCCCAGCGGCCACGCTGCATGAGTGCAGCACCTCCTGCCAACGCACGCTGGCAGGTGTTGTGTTCGGAGCCGTTTGGATCAGGGTAGTCAGCGTCGATCGCAAGTGTGTTGTAAAACTGAAGGCGGATCTCGCTGGTTTATGAAAAAGACCTTCATATGACAAAGACAGCCTATATAAAGGGCCTAGTGCAGGCCAAGGTACGGTGTTGCGTCCACGATGCAAGCCCGCCTGGCTACTGTGGTGGAGGCGGGTCGGCCGCCGCCGTGACGTCCGTCTTGTGACCGTGTGACCCGCGCGCCGGCAGAGCGGGTCGTCGCCGCCGCACGGCGAGCCACTCTCGCTGTCGGTGTCGCCGCGCCAGTACGAGGCGCCGTTGTCGGTGCTGAGCTCGCTGCACGACGCCAGCGCCGCCCTCCAGCAGATGGCCGCCCGACACGGACACCTGTGCACCGCCGTCCGACAGCTGCCCTCGCACGGTAACGTCCCGCCTTCCCTCGTGCGCAGCTGCCCGCTCACGCTCGCGTCCGATAGGCTCCGTTCGCGGCAACGTTCGGCTGCTGCTGCCGGCACACGGCGGACTTGGTCGATGCTGCGCGCTGTGCGGCCACTGCGCCACAGATGGTCGGCACATGCTTGCTTTGGCGGCGAGACTGGTCCACACCACATGGTCCTGCTTTTGCAGGCTCGCTACTGACCTACAGGCACTTTAACGTGATCTAGGTCGCATTTTTTTTGCGTGTTTCGGTGTTGGACGACGCCATTCAGAGGTTTTTATATTTCCTCGCAATGTTTTCGAGGCGCAACGTAGGGCGGCCGCCGGCATCTGACCGCACCTACGTCTGCGTGCCGACAGCCTCTGAGGACGTGACGGTGACCAGCACCGACTCGGACCTGCTGTTGCTGATGGCCACCTCGCAGGCGACGCTGCTCTGTCTGGAGCAGTGCTACTCAATCCTGCAGCAGCAGCGCTCGGCGGCGGCGCTGCCCATCGGCGCGCCGCTGCCGGCCGGCGACAGGAGCAGCCTCAGGCTCGGCGCCACCCGCGCCCGGCCCGAGAAGGACTTCCTCGCGGACGTGGCCGACTGGTTCGACACCAACTTCGGCACGGCCAAGACGTGAGTGGCAGCGGGTGGCGCCGCCCGCGTGCCGTGAGTCGACATCCCGGTCTGGACCGGACACCAGGCGCTGGCCAGCACCCGCTCACTGGTCCGCGCAAGGCAGCCGCACGGCACCGGCAGCCACACTTGCTCAAGCGTCTTCAAAACGGAGGCGGCGTCAGTTGAAACTGCCACGTATTTTTCAATGACGGCCATGACATGTCACCGTTGCTAACGGGGCGCATCCCATTTTCTCTCTAACTGCCGTTTGTTTTGGCTGCGTGATTGGCTTTTGACTAACGCATTTTGCTTCGGCGAGCCGACTGGACGCGTGTGCGTGCGCGTGAGCGCGACTAACGGCACGCCCGGTCCGCAGACAGCGGAAGGTTTCGCACGCCAGCCCGCCGCGGCCGGCCGCGGCTCCGGCTGCAGCTCAGGCGGCCCCACCGCCGGCGGCGCCCGGCCGCACGCCAGCCGCTATAGGTCGGTCGGCCGGGACAGCTGGCGCCCGTGGGGCTGCACGGATGGGTGGAGCTGGCGTAGCAGGCGGGCGCACGCAGTGTGGCTTGAAAATGGCTAGGCTTGTTGGCGTTAGCAGGGCTGCTGTCTGTTTGTACCAATTGTCTTCCCTGGGCGCCATTTGCCCTGAGTTCAGAATGGAATTGACTTGGTCTAGGTTAGGGTAGTTTAGGAGGTTCATGGGAAGTTGTAATTAAACATCTATTTTGTTGAAGGTGCGACACCATTGTCGTCTGCCCGGTTTGATTTATCTTTCGTCATTCCATTCATTCGTTCATTTAACCATATGCTTTTCCCGCTGTCTGTCATAACACGCCGGTGTTCGATCGCGTCCGCTCTCCCCGCACTCGCGTCCAGTGATGGGTTGCTGACCCCCCCCCCCCCTCCCCCCTCTCCCCGAGTCTGTGCGGCAGCCATCTGTGAGGCATGACCGATTCATGCGGGGCGTGCTCGGTTTGTGTGGTGGCGTGACCGGTCTGTGCGGGGCGTGACCGGTCTGTGCGGGGCGTGACCGGTCTGTGCAGGGCGTGACCGGTTTGTGCGGGGCGTGCTCGGTTTGTGTGGTGGCGTGACCGGTCTGTGCGGGGCGTGACCGGTTGGTGCGGGGCGTGATCGGTTTGTGTGGTGGCGTGACCGGTCTGTGCGGGGCGTGACCGGTCTGTGTGCGCCGGCAGCGCGGCCCGGCAGTGAGGCGGAGGAGGTGGAGGATCCGCCGCCGCCGCCGCCGGCTGCTGTGCCGCCAGAGGCCGGCTCGGCGCTGCGGCCGCTGCTGGCCACGCTGAAGCTGGGCGCCGACCTGACTCAGGTGCGCCTGCCGGCCGCCCTGCTCGACCCGCGCTCCCTGCTGGAGCTGTACTCTGAGCTCTGGTCCCGGCCCGACTCGTTCGTCCGGTGAGTCGGCCGTGCCCCGGCCATAGCGGCGCACGGCACGTGCGGTGCGCCGCTGGTATAGTCTTGTCCGTACATATTGCTCAGAACGTTTACAAGCGTGTGTAAGCGGAAACCTGCGCAGCGCGATTCGACCGCTGGCCGAGTCGGGGGCCGGGCACACATGTTCGGCGCAGGTGATAGCGTTGGTATTGGTATTGTGTGGACCCTATGCTGCTGGTGTTCCCTGGGCACCCCGGGCATCCCCAGAGCGGGGATGTGACCGCGTACCGGTGGCGAGAGCCCGCAGCGACTGCCTGGTGACCGGCGCGCACGCCTCCGTCTTGTCCGCGCAGGATCGCGCAGGCCGACTCAGCTGCCGAACGCATGTGCCGCGTGCTGGAGTGGTACGTGACGTCACTGTGCGCCGGCTGCCCGCGCGCCAGCAAGCCCTACAACCCGGTGCTGGGCGAGGTGTTCACCTGCTCGTGGCCGCTGGACGGCGGCCGGACGCGGCTTCGGTTCCTAGCCGAGCAGGTGTCGCACCACCCGCCAGGTGAGCCGCCGCACCGTCATCTGGCAGACACCACTCCGGGACTCCGTCGTCGCAGCCCTGCGGTGACACTGGAAAGTCCCTGCTGTAGCCACGGCTAAACAAAAAGGTCCCTGAAATTTCATTTGTCTGGGATAGGCAGAATCTCTGGTTACGTGCCTTCCAAAAATGTTCGTCTTCACTGGTGGGCCGTTGGGTTGCGGTGCGGACTGGCCGGCCCGCTGACGCGTGCCGTGCGCCGCCACCGCAGTGTCGGCCATCTGCGTGAGCTGCGCCGAGCCGGAGCTCAGCCTGCAGGCGACGGTCGGCTGCCGGGCCCAGTACGTCAACTCGGCCACGGTGACGCTGACCGGCGAGGCGGCGCTTCACCTGGTCCACCGCGCCGAGACCTACACCTTCAACTATCCAGCGGTCGCTCTTAGGTGAGGCACACACACCGCTACCTGCAACTGCCGGCCGGCCATCAATTACGTTGCCCATGAAGGGAAAGTGGGGACGATGATAGAGCGTGAGGGAAGCGTAACAAGGGGAGGAGATGTTTTCAACACCGTAACGTTACGCTCAGGTGTGATTGCATATCGCAATTCACCCCCAACCATTCTTCGGTCGCCTTCATGTCGGGCATGCAAACCAGACTGTCCCACAAGGCCCAGAGCCAACAATACGCCAACAGGACCCAAGGCACTCAGCCTGTCCTCCTTAAGTCAGGTAGACTACGGTAGCCTCCCTGTTAACAAGGCCCAAGGCGCTCGGCCTGTCCTCAGGTCAGGTAGACTACGATGGCATCCGTGTTAACGTATTCTAAGGTCGAGGTCGGCATGCTGGTCGTATGTAACGACCATGCCACGCTAACCTGGAACACTGCTCACGAAGAGATTTACCACTGACCGTTGACAGGAAGAGATTCCTGGCCACGTCTGTCTGTGAGGCGGAGTGGTGCGTGTTGGGGTGCCAGCTGTCCGACGCGTGTGCGGCAGGTCGCTGCTGAACGAGCGCTGGGTGGAGCTGGGGGGCCAGGTGAAGATCGCGTGCCAACAGACCGGCTACTCTGCCTCGGTGACATTCCACACCAAGGTACCGCCGCGCGCTGGTCTCGGCCGGGTGGTCCCAGTTACAGGTTGGCGTGACACCCCTCCATTTACAAGGCGTTTTGTCAGCAATATCAGGTCAGACATGTATAGAAAAGTCTGGTGTTTCCCGTTTAATTGCGCCGACTTTTTGTGGGTCATTTTACCCGTAACACCGTGTTTTCGGTCCTCTTCGAAGCCAACCGCACTAGAAGGTTGGAATTGCTATAGTGTATTGCCAGAATGAGTGTTACTTGGTGGTGCGCCCATGTGTCGGCTGCACTCAGCGACGACGCTCTTCTGTGGACGCCCGTCGTGACGTGTGTGGCGGTCGTGCGCCGTCAGCCGCTGTCTGACGAGGGCGAGCGGCACCGCGTGACGGCCGAGGTCCGGTCCCAGGACGGCAGGCTGGTCTCCAGACTCCAGGGCAACTGGCGGGGCCAGGTCCAGCTGACCGGGCCGCAGGTGAGCTGATGCCGCTTGTCGATACGTTTCGTGATTGACGGTGTACAACCACGACAGCTTAGCATTAGCAGTTACTCGCCGAGTGCCCAAGGTGCCAGTGTACTGACTGCGGCCGGGCCGGCAGGGCGAGAGCCGGACGGCGGACTGTGACGCGCCGGCCGGCCGCCGCTGGGTGCGGCCGCTCGGCCACCAGACGGCGCACGAGTCGCGGCGCGTCTGGTCGGGCGTCACCGCTGCCCTGCTGGCTGGTGACGCGGCACGCGCGGACCGCCAGAAGCAGCTGGTGGAGGAGGCGCAGCGCGACAGGGCCGGCCTGGGCCACGCTCCGCGGCATTTCTACCCGCACGAGCAGAGCTGGGTGTTCCGGCCGGCAGCAGCCTGAGCCGGCGGCGGCGGCGGCGGGCGAGTGCCGCGCTCGTGACTCGTGCGAGGCGCGTGGGGCGGGGCGGGACGGACGTCAGCGGGCGGAATTAACAATGGATTGGCGCAGAGGGCCCAGCATTATTATCAGCTCGCTGGGCTGGCAATTATACGGAGTGATGCCTGGTCGGCGGCCAGCGCGCGCGTGCTGCGAGTGGTGCGGGCTCCCAGCCGGGGCTGACCGGGAGGCCCAGAGGACGCCAGCTGGGGAGCGGGTGGGCAGGCGTGCGCTTACCGGTACTGGAGAGCTGCTGGCGGCGGCTGCGGCGGCTGAGTGTTGTCTCGGCGTGGCCGACAGCCCGGTGATTTGAAAGGGTAACTTCTGTTATTAGTGCGTATCACGTGACCTGCTGGATTCGAAGAAAACGTCTTAGAATTTTGTGACGAAAAATTGGCAGACGTTCATTGCATTGAGAACATATCAGACAACCATTTGAAGATATTTCTAACCCGAAGTTTGTGAAAGCTGACTTTCGCGGGCGAGTGCCGTCTGCGGCGATGCCGCTGCTGTTGACATATCTGGCGGTCTGTTTAGCGGAGATGCGGAACACGCGGCTGGTCGACCGCCCGCTCGGTCCTGCGCAGCTGCTTTTACCAGTTTGTTTATCCACGTGCACGCATGCGGCATTCCGCGCGCATTTATCGCAATACGAGCTTTATGGCGCGCGCTACGTGCGTCGGGTCCGGAGCTTGGGTTAGTGGACGCCCTGTTTGATACTGTGTACTCCTTCTCAGCTGTGCCTACGCCTGTCCTATTCGTGTTTGGCGACTGCGTACGGGACGTCGCGGTGGTGTGGGAGGGGAGGAGGCGACAGCTGGGCTGCTACGAAACAATCGGTGGCGGCGGGCAGCTGTCATTGCCACTGTGCGTCCGGCCGTCGGCAGCTACGGCTGATGCCTCCTGACAGCGTGTCAAACAATATATTACGCCTGCAATATGCCGTCGGGTCTCTTGGCGCTGCTGCCTGCGGCTGACGGGTGCGGGCCGCACAACTCGCGAGACAGCACGAGGGCGTCGGCACGACACGCAGGCACGGCCGCTCACACACACACACACACTCACACGCACGCACGCCGTCCAGGTGTACACCAATGCCCAGACGCCAGTAGGCCCCGCAGCGGCGAGAAGACCGCCACCCCTGGCGGAGGGCCGAGCTGAGCTGGAGCTAACCGCGCCTCAGACGGCGAGGCACCACACGCCGACAGCACACCTGCTGGTCACTGTATCACATGGAGGGGTAAGCGTACTGCAACCTGCGCGGGGTCACGGCTGACCGGCTGACCCGGGCCCCGCCCGTCAGGACGGTCGGTGGGCCAATGGTCGGGTTATCTCGCTTGGCTCGGGGCCCGGCGGGACACGGCGCCGTTTGAAGAGTGTCGGTCAGTCGCTTTCCCGCAACCACTGCTGTCGACCACACCACAGCCCGGCTAGTGGCCAGGTCGCAGCAGGTCTCAGGGTCCCGGTCAATGGCGGGACGGGAGGACGGCGAGGGCACGGGCGGCGGCGTCAGCGAACCACACCTTGAGAGCCATTCAATGTCCGTATGCGCCGTCGGGAGCGGGGTCGTCAGCCACGTGTCATCGCGCGCGTCTCATCGCGCCCCGTCGGAGTGTTGCGAACGACAACGTAGCACCCATGTCCGTCCCCAACTGTAGTGATGCCATTAGTGCCACAGCCGGCCTCTATTGGCGTGTGGCAAGCAGTAGCATCAAGGTGGAAGCGGACCGGTTTAATGGCGTGTCCACGTGTATGCATCGGTGGCGGCGGCCCGCGGCCGAGATCATGCCTCCCTTAAGCATGGCCCATGACTGCTGTGCAGGGTGTGGAGGTATGACCCCAAGGTGACCTCTCCGTACAGGCGTTGGCGGCATCGCGAAATGTTAATAATACTGCAGTGTAGTTCTGGACGCATCAGCAGCACGCCAACTGCTTGGAGAGCAGCAGCGCGCAGCGGCAAGCGTCGCCATGTTTGAGCCATCAGCTACCGCTGAGAATAGCACCAGTCGTGGCATGGCAATGGCAGACGCGCCACTGACAGCGCGCGATACGATATCACAAGAGCACAATATCGCTGGGAGAAGCACGGCAGAGGCGCACTGAGCGTGCTAGCGGTAGCTTGGCTGGCCGTGGCGCCGCGCGGGCGGGGTGACGTCAGAGCCGTCAGTGGCCGCCATGGTGTCAGCAGCGGCAGCGGCGCCGGTGCCGACAGAGCAGACAGGTGCCGGTCGTCATCAGGGACGTCCCGGCACCTCTGGTGCCGCAGACAATTCAGAGGACAACAGCTCACATACGGCTGGAAACGACAGGTCCGCTGGGAGTCAGGCGATGCACCCGAAGTGACGCGTAAACGACAGGTCCGCTGGGAGTCAGGCGACGCACCCGAAGTGACGCGTAAACGACAGGTCCGCTGGGAGTCAGGCGACGCACCCGAAGTGACGCGTAAACGACAGGCCCGCTGGGAGCCAGGCGACGCGTAAACGACAGGTCCGCTGGGAGTCAGGCGACGCACCCGAAGTGACGCGTAAACGACAGGTCCGCTGGGAGCCAAGCGACGCGTAGACAACAGGCCCGCTGGGAGTCAGGCGACGTGTAAACGAAAGGTCCGCTGGGAGTCAGGTCATACGCCCGAAGCGACGCGTCAGCCGTGTTACAGTGCATTCGGAGGGAGTGTAACGCCTCGATGAGGCCGGCCGGCCAACCCCTGAGAATACCGACGCGACGCCAGTGTCGCTCAGACATGAGTAATTCCACCACGACACAGCTTAATCACTTGGCGCCACGTCACTAACACAACGAGTGGATGGGACGGTATGATCGCTTCTGTCCATGATTTGTTTTGCAATAACCTAAGGGTGCTTGAGATAACTGGTACCCTACAGGTCTACCATTATGTGACGTCAGAAGACGCCCTCACTGCGTAGCGCGTTCAGGAATGACTAGAGCGCGCTCACTCGATGTGTGGGTTGGAGGATGCAGCAGAACCAAGGACCCCAGTCACGTGCCCTAGCTCGTTTGTTTCTCCGGACATTTTCATCTCTGTAAATCGTGGTAAGGGGTGAGGGGAAGTGAAAGCAGTCCCTCCATTGTACCAACCATGCCCTATCACGGCAACCTTCGCCTTAGTCAATAAACATGCTATGCCCCATGTCCATGGGTGTTACGACGGCAGGATGGTCATGCCAATCCTAATTTTCCCGCAGCACGATTTCGCACTGCCGCATCTTCCCTCGTCATGTACGTTTTTACCCTTGCACATTAAAACTACCCCTTTCAGGTCAGGATGCTCCCAGGATTCTAGTTCCTCCCTTCCCGGTCCTAGTTTAACCCCTCTCCCACTTCAGAGACGTGGTTACACCCGTACCCGTCGCATAGTCCAGTATAGGCGTGTGTGCTGAAACGTGAGGACGAGCGCCTGGATCGACAGAAGCAAAAACTTATGGGCGGCCGCTATCTGAACAGCGTGCATCAGCCCACGACTTCTCGTTTGCTAAAATGACTATGTCCAGCTCTAACACGTCAGCATGCCTGTGATCTGGGCGACATTGCGGAAAAGACTGTCGCGTTGGTTATCCGCTCGACACCAGCCAGTGCCTGACTTGACCTGACTCGTCCCAGCTACAGCCGCCTCTGGTGCCCTGCCAAGCTCTGTCATCCGTTGGCCGCCAGAGCGCGGCCGGCTCAGCGCCGGTGGCGCGGCGGGACCACGGGTCAAGCCGGGACGGCGCCCACCCTGAGGACGCCAGGCCGGGCGGCGCCGAACGCTCCCAGAAGGCGCTGCTGCCAGACCGCGCCAGCGCCACTGGGTGACATCGTCCAGTGGTGGTCAGGGCGTTGCCGGCAGGCCTCGCCGACCGGCCGGTAACCTGGCGGCGGCAGCAGTGACGGCACCAGCCATTGACCACCGGCCCCCGGCCCCCGACAGTGTCGTCTATCGTCGTAGCCGCGCATCAGTTCTTGCGCTTCTCGTTCAGCTTGGCGGCCGCCTTCTTCTTCATCAGCTGCATACGTCGCTCGGCTGAGACCATGGAGTTGGGCGGCGGCGCGGCGCCGCCGGCCGCCTTCCCCGCGCTCGGCGAGAACGGCGGCGGACGCGAGCCGGCTGGAACGGTCGGCCGGCGCGTCACCACCTCCGGGCTGCGGTGGATGGCACGGCGAGGGCACGGAGAGGCCGACACCCTGCGCAGCATCAGGCGCGTCTCGCAGCTAGGAGGGCGGCGAAGCGTCAGCCAACGCCGACCGGCTCCTACCACGCACATGTTACACGACAACTTCAGTGAGACGGGCACAAACCAGCTGTAACCAACACCTGCGATCCCCGGGATGCAGCACGTCAGATGCGGTCAGAGCGGTCTGATGGGAATGATGCATCTGACTGCTCATCACCCAGCCGGTACAGTGGCGGCAGGTGTTGGCCAGCCGGTGGACGGGGCGCAGTGCCGTATGCGGGGACAGAAAGGGTCACCGCTGACCTGTCGACTTGGACGTGAGCTGGGTCTTGGCCGTTGGCGGGCCGCCCTGGCCGGAGCTCTTCGACAGGTGGAGCGAGCCCAGCGACTTGGTGGACGCTTTCGACTTGAGCAGACTGGCACCGGGACCGGGCCGGCTGCTGCTGCCGCCGCTGCCGGCCGACTGCGCGGCTGAGCCCTGCGGCGTCAGAGGAACGTCAGGTGGTGACGGCGACAAACTGGCGTTGGCAACTGGCGCTGACTGCTGCTGCTGCTGCTGCTGCTGCACCGACAGCCGGGCTCGATGGCGCACTGATATGGACCAATCCTGGGATCGCAGGCAAGAGAGAGCGGTAAACTGTATGGTGCTTTGTGGAGCTGTGAAGCGACTGGTGACAAACCTAGTGGCGAAAGCGTTGCTTGTTTAAGCGAGAGCCGAGGCATAGCAAATGAGAAACTTGAGAATGAGAACCGAGACCAAATTGGTGATAATAGCACGATCAATGCTGGTATGGTGACAAAGACTAGTAAACATTCGAGCAGGAAATGAAGCACTCGAAAGATCTAACGTGATCGGCGCTGCAGCATTAGACCTGTTCCCGTACGAACACAACTGGTTGATGAGCTGTGACTAAAACCCCTTACTTTGTTATCTTTTTTAACTAGCAGGCTATCAGACTTATTCTTCTCAAGCTTGTTGGCTGCCGCGGCGGGCTTCAAGAGTGACGAGCCTGCCAACTGAAGGGTCAACACCGTTACTTACCCGGGACGCGGACCGGTCGCACGCCCGGTCGCCCGGCGAAATATGGCCACACGCTCCCAGCACATGCTGCCGTACCATGGAAAAGCGAATAGTGCAGCACATAACCTGACCACAGGCTATAACCAGCAATATCCTGTGACGCGCGACAGAAGCCCACAGCCACCTCGCGACAGCTTCACAGCAAACATAGCTCGCAATCATAACTGTGCAGCTTTCCCTATTTTTTTTTAGTGCAGCGCTGTCCTGCGACACCCCGATCAGCGGATAAAACTGATGTGTCCATGCTGGACCTACAGCTGTGTAGCAGCTAAGGCTAAAGCACAACCAAGGCCACACAGTCTTCCGCCGGCATGCTCAGCCACTTCTGAACACGCAGCGTGGGGCAACAGGCTGTGAAGTGTGAAGGGACAAACAGCAGCAGAAAGCTACGTCAATGAGCGGGACAGTGCCGAAACGTAAATCAATCAGGTAAGAGATAGAGAGGTAACAAACCAGGCCTCAAAGAAAACAAGCAAAAAGGGGCGAAAAATAACGAAGAGACAAGGACACCCCCGCGCGCAAAAAGGCGGGGCAATGCACACAGCGCGCCAAAATCGGGTGAGGCCGGAAGGGAGGCGGGGGGCACCGACCGCGGCCTGCTGTTCCTTGCAGTTGGCGCAGAGCCAAACGGCGCGCGTGTCGCCCCGCTCCTGTTCGGTGATGGCCGGCCGGTGGCACTCCTGGTGGTACAGGCTGCCGCACTCTTGACATTCGATCAGCTGATTGCCCGTGCTTACACCGATGTTCCTGGGGGCAAACGCACAACAGGGTGTAGCATAACTCACACGCACGCACGCACGCACGCACGCACGCACGCACGCACGCACCCACCCACCCACCCACCTATCGCCAGTCGCCTACTTTATGTCGGTGGTCCGTATGCGGGGCCTCACCTACAGACGACACACGCCAACTGAACCATAAAGTCCATCTCGAGCCCGGCCGTGTCGTTTAGGTCCGAGTCCTCCGACTTCTTGCTGGCGTCCGAGTCGCGGGACATGGTGGGCGACGGCGTGTGCGATTTGAAGCCCACCGGTGAGTCCACGCGCGCCCGCTTGATGTTCATGTCGCCGAGGTCATCCTTTATCTGTGCGCACAGACAGTGATGACGTGTGGACGGACGACACAATGCTGACACTTAGGAAGAGCTGGGGCTTGTGTACTCAGTGCAATGAGTTTTTTTTGTAATTTACGGGGCGAGACCATCGCGTAATCGAATAAAAAGTTGCACAGGGATTTGAAGAATGATTCTGAACAGACATCAGCAAATTTTAGTCGGAATCTTTGCATATGGGTAGCAATATCCGTACTGTTCCAAGCTTATCATCAGACTGCAAACGTACTCCATTTCTGAATTAGAATTATCCCCTGATGTGCCTCAATACGCCGAGCATTCGCTCATCCCTGACCACAAACCACAGCTCTGCCCTACGCTCACTCCATAGTAACGCCCGATGAGACCCGAACAGTGCCTGTGTCGAGCACACACCACCAACCCCACCAGGCGTTACGCCTGGGCCTAGCTACAACGCTAGATGGCCTAGCCAAGGCGCTGTGCAGCGCGTGCGGGCTGCGCCGCCAGGTATGGGCGCCGCCCAGCACTCACCTTATCGAGCCCGCGCTTGAGACCGGCGTCGGCGGCGCGGCCCAGGCCCGGCGTGGAGCGTGGACTCATGTTGGCCGGCGAGAGCTTGCCGCCCGTGCGGCCTGAGCGCAGCCGCACCTCGTCCAGCAACGCACGCAGCTGGTCGGCCGAGTCCCGGGAGCGTGAATGCAGCAGGCGCAGGCCGCGCAGGAATACCGGGTCCAGCTCCATGGCCGACTCGGCCACCCGACGTCAGCTGGGCCGCTGACGCCTCCTCACTGGTCGGCGGAAGCACCACTTTTAGTATTGGTGACTGGGAGGTGCCAACGAAAGTTATGGGCATGATATGCCAAAATAAAATCAAGAGAACAAAATGAAATACCTGCTACCTCATCGTGCCTTCATTCACGGTTCCTCTGCTTAAAACAGCTTTGGTATATCGCTTCGTTTGATCACAAACAAAAATTTGGCACTTCGCTCTGGTTTTCGGAGCAAAAATTCTGTCAGTGTGGGGACACAGGATGTTTAAGATGAACGTCAATGCTCGGGTTGCCAATAAAATAAGATTCAACCGCCGCTCACTAGATACAGCCAAGCTTGAATAACTTGTTAAAAATCATGCGAAAAAGTTGATGATCCAAGCACTTCTACTCCTTTTTCGAAAATGGTGCTTCTGCTTGGATGCAAAGGTAAGCACAAACACCACTACAGCCAGCACTAGCATGACAGGAGCACATATAACCAAGCCATTCTTGGATGACGTAGCAGAAGGCCCCACGATCCAGAGAAACTCTGTTCAGTAACAATCAGTGAGTCTCCAGAAACATACTCCTTGGTTTAACCTTGAGCCCGGCCAGTAAAGGGTCCCTCAACATCAGAGCCAGCAGATACAATTCAGTAGACAGCTGGTGAACTCACATCGCCATATTGTAACTTGTTTTCCTGTCACATGGCAGAACAACAACCCTTCATGTCAGCCTAACCATACTGCAGTGGAACATAATATTTTTAACTAAGACTGCATGCCCAGGGGGCGGGGAATTTGCGGCAATCAAACAGGCGATGAGAAGTGGGCGTATGCCATCTGCTTGCACTCAGCACCAGGAGAGGAATGGACTTATATGCAATCTCAGATCTGCACTGCAATCTGGGCAATGGCATTAAAAGGGTGTTTGAAATGTTCCCTCATATGAGCAACAGTTTCAACATGTCTTGTTCCCTACACATTTTGTCCATACACATTTAGTTATTTAGCTTCACTAATATTTAGTATTTTTAACAAATTATAGATGATACAAGCACTTTAAGATGAGCCTTCAGAAACTATTCATTGCTGGCAAAACTGCCAGACAATGGCATATCACAAACCATGAACATGGGCCAAGAACCACTGGCATTCAACAAAACATCATGACCATTTCATTACAAAAGCATTACTACCCACCATCCCCCTTCCCCCCCCCCCCCCCTGATGGCACGACACCTCACATCAACTACTTTTTGTATGGTCCCATTTGCACCGGAGGGTGCCTAATGGTACATGAAACAAAGTAAGCTCGCAGCTAGTAAATAATGCATTGTATTCCATTAAATGCATCATACTGGTTCGTCCCGGAATTCAGGCTAAATATACCTTTTCTACTATTTAATTCAAACCTCTTGAATGCATGGGTTCCTGAGATCAGGCCCCGCATTAAGTGTGCTTGTTGCGCGAGTACGGGCCCCCACCACCCGATCACAAAATCCAGATCAATGGTAGAATTTGGTAGCAAAGTTAAAACGTGCCGTCATGCTCGACATGGTCCGTCCTGCCCTCTGACGCCACCTGACCTTTAGCGCGGTTGCTGTCGCTGGCTGCAGACGATACCAGTCAAGGGCAGCTTGCTGGGCCATGGTAGGGTTAGGCATTACACAGCATTTCCCTATGGCAGCAATCCTACTGTGTTTACAGTTTCCAATGGACCTTAACACGTTGTGAGTTTGATACCAGCAGTCCTGTAGCGATACATGTGCTGGATTGTGGTGATGCATGGGATAAATTAATAGTATAAAGGGGATAGGTTCATCTAGTTTCTGTTACCAAGGGATGTCACCATGGGGGAGATTACATCACCAAGGGGTCACAGCCAGCTTTGGCTGCGGCTTCAAGCTTCAGGAAAAGACTCAGATAAAGATCAGTGTTCCGTTCATGCGTCCGGATTCGGCTCGGGCTTCGGGGGACGTCTCACGGCTGGCTTTCGCCTCAGCTTTGCGACATGCTAAATATAGCTTTGACTTCGTCTCCATCCCATCCTAAAATTCCGGCTTCAACTCTGAGATTTTTTTTCACTGCAGCTATGGGTTTAATTCACATAGACATCCCTGTCTGTCCGTCTGCCACAATCCCAGTCCGTCCCGTTACCCTAACATATCGCATAACTTTTCAAGGTTGCCAGGTATGCACGGCTCAAAGACAAAACTGGCCAGTCATTCCCAAGGACCAATTAACACTTGAAGACGACCATAGAAGTAATGCACGAAAAGTAAAACGCAAAACGTTGTATGCATACCAAAGCACAAGACGAGGACATAAGTCCGGAGAAGTTCCCTCGCTAAATGTTAACACCTTGCCTCAACCGCTACGCAAAACCCATATATTTCCTGACCACATTCAGCTCTAGCTGCCGTGAAAGGGGTTTTAGTACCGCAGAACAGCGCTGCACGCTAGATTCGGCTTAGGCTTCGGCTTCAGCCTCGTGATTTTGAAATAATAGCGTTGGCTTTAGCTTCAAGCTTCCGTAGCTTCGCGTTTAACACGCGCTCGGGCGGGGGTCAAATTGACCCCCCGAAGGTTTTTCCAGAATAATTTCCGAACGGCGCGGTAAAGCCGCACCAAATTTTTGCATAGCTGTGGACAATTGAATAGCAGATCGTTTGGCATCAATAATTTAGATGTACCGTGTAAGAACGCTGACCTATGGCAGGTCAAAGTCAGGCCATGGTGTCAGCGTAGTCACTTTGTAGGGAATCGTTCAGTCTGATGCAACAACGGAGCATTACACAAAGCCATACATCTCTGAAATGCTTTCTTAGGCAATTCAACAAAGGAATGAGCAAATTGTATTGACCTAGTGTCAGGTATGAAGGTCAGACCAGGGTCAAAACCAACCTATTTCATTACTCTAGGGCTTGCTGTATGGGATAGTTTCTGGAGTTCATTTCATTTCATTCATTTCATTTCAGTTTATTGATAGCAGGAGCTGCATTCTATATCTTCCATGAACTTCTTAGAGGTCAAAATAGGTCATTGACCTAAAATGACCCTGGTCAACATTTGGTTTTCAGGAGCATGCTGTCTGGCATAAACTTTGCTGCTTATTCAAATGCAAAACTCAGAGCAGTCTTGCTTCAGATTCAACTTCAGAGTCAGGCGGATGGATTCATCCCCATGCCTGCCACACCACATCAGAAGTTTTAGTTTTAAATTATTTGGAATCAAATCTTTATTTTAACCTTCATTAGCACATGCTCTTCAGTCATGTCAGGCCAGTGAGTTGCTATGTAACCTCTTAAGGTTCACAGAACAGTCATTAATAAAACTCAGTGTTCTGATTTTTCATGGCAAAACATGCATTCGTAAACTAAGCTGAACCTGGTGCACACAAACATTCCTCAAGGAACCAGTTGATCCTGAAGAGGTCAATGACTTGTCTAGGGTCAGATGAATATACAGCCTATGGCCCTTTTGAACTTTAGATCAGATCTTGGGGACCATTTGGCATTTGGTATGACTAAGGATACAATGATGTGCATGTCTGTAATTATCACAACTTTTGAGCTTGTTCCAAACCATTACCATTTGACCTAGAAGTTTTTTCATGGATGCAATAAATGTTTGAACTATTGTCCTTAATACCTGTAATTGGTGGTGACATGGCTGTATGATGGTGAGTATTCTGGTTAGCTCATTTGGTGGCCATCATCAGGTGTTATTGAGTCATGGAAATTGCTAGAAGAGTTTGGCTTTCAGCCATACACATGTTACAGTATAACTCTCCATAATCTGAATTTCATCATTGCAGCTGTCATTGGGTGTTAATTTGGCGAGGTTTGTTTTATGACATTCTAAAAAAAATAGCATAAAACTATTATGTCTATCATTATGTTATATTGCCAACACAATTCTAGAATAAACTATATGGTATGGTGAGCTTAACAAACAAATAAAACAGCACTATGTCACAAACATGGCTGCTTTGATAATTCCATGCCATAATGCAAGTTTGCATGTCAAGCATATTTTCTTTGACCAATTTTTAATAACATCATGCCTGCATGTGGTAGAAGCTTTCATAGTGAGTATGGAAAGGGCTAGAAGGGTTTGGCTTTCAGCCATACACATGTCACACTCTAACTCTCTATAATCTGAATTTCATCATTTTGGCTGTCATTGGCTGCCAATTTGGGGAGGTTTGTTGTATGACATTCTGAATAAATGACATAAAACTATTCTGTTTATCATTGCTGTCATATCACTAACACAATTCTAGAATGAACCATACAGCATGGTGAGCTGAACAAATAAATAAAACAAATTGGGCTGGTGCTGGGGGTGGGTGGGGTGACAGGGGGGACTGAAGTGCATTATGAGCATATCATCCTAATTGCTGGATCACCCTTTTCTGGGTTCCATGCAACCCAGAGTGCAAAAAATAACAAAAACATGATATACTGAACATGTGAGGCATAGCAGCAATCCCCATTTAACAGTTTCAGCAATTAGAAGCAGGAAATCTGAGACCTCTGAGTCAGGTCCATGGATGTCACTTATTTCAGCCCATAAATAACCATTGTTTCTAGGAATGTGATGTTTTAAGTACATATGCGCATGAATGGTTTCAGACAAATTTGTTGAAAATTTGGCACAATTTGATCCGGACCAAGTCTGGCTGTTCATGCTCCAAGTTACATGCTCAAAACATCATGTAAATCAACAGGACAACAGATCATTGTTTGCACACTGGCATAAAACTGAAGGCACAACTTTAATGCTGAGACACTTCTACTTGTAATGCAGGACTGAACCATACCACAGCCAATTGTTTGGCTTCGAGGGAAGAAAAGCAGCTTTTCAAAATAATATTTTTGCATCATTCTACAAAAAGAATACAGAAACACTAGCTGGGTCCTTTTCCGTGAAAAGACTTCAAACTTACCAATAATTCCAGCACCTCACGGGCAGTCTCTGGCTTCACCCGCAGGCACGTTGACTTGCTAGCGCCGAGTGCAAGGCTTGGTCTCTCGATTTTACCTCACCCTCTTTTCACGGATTCGTATGAACAGAGGCGAGGCCCGTTCAATCATATCATAGGCCCAATCATACCAGTAACGCCCCTGCCAACCAACGCACACAAGAGTCAAGATACCACAACAGGTACACAACGTACGAATGGCGTTTATATACCCATCACGTCCACACACCAAGTACACAAATTCACGACACAAAGGAGCAACCCGCCGTCTTTACTGAGCACCGAATGTTGCGCAGGCCAGACATTTACTAACATAGTAGGGGCTAGGATTTGGAATAAGCGGTTAAGTTAGAATCCTCTCTGCTTTATAGTTAACTATTGCCAATTCTATGTGATACAGTAGGTTAACATGTTAAATTTTTAGAGTTTAATTGTAGAACCCTATAATTCAAGATCGGTGTAAGAATTTACACCGGTCTCTCTGAAACGATCTACAGCATACTGAATACCTTAGAAGCAAACCCATATCACGTGAAGTATCAGCTGATTTGTTTTGAAATGCTTCTAAATCTGTTCTTGCGTTCGGGCTGTAGCGGTGGTCAGGTGGGGGCTTGGGGCCTATTTGTGGGTTTTCAGCAACTTTCACTGCATTCTTTTCTGAAATAAGATTGCTTATCACTATAGGTGCATTGGAAGGTGAGTGTTCGCAGTCTAGGTTGCTCAATCCGCCTGACCAGAGGGACACACTGCCACCTTTTCGTGTATTGATCAACAGAAAACAGTTTTTAATCTCAAGACTAGGAGATAGCTGTTCCTGTTCCGAGTTCATGGCATGTGTGGCAGGTGGCCAAAATAATGATATAGTTGCTGCCTCGGCTAGGGTTATGTATTGTTTGATACCACACTGCCGTATTAAAGCTAGCCTCCCACTGATTTTTAAAGTCTATATTTGCCAGTCCTTGAATAATCCATCCACTGTTCCAGATGCGTATAGGACATCAGTGCACTTAACTTTGCCATTGTGTGTATCAAACATGGGCTGGGTCAAATTACACAGAATTTCTAAGCTATCTTTCTGTGATAAAATTTTGCAAGTGTTTGTTGGAAGCTACTGTTTGGAACATCATAAGTCCATGAAATGTTGCCTTTTTGTTCTGAAACTAGTTGTGGCTATGTGCTAGTATGTAAGCACTTGGATTTAAAATGTGCCTTGCTAAAAGTTTTGTAATTTGACTGCTGTGTGAGACATTTTGGATCAACATGTATTCATTACATTCTGACATTTTGGTGCAAAATGTCATATCTATGCAAATGTATAGTTTTTCTCTGTATGGCTTGTAATAAGAATAACAAAATTATTTAATAAGTAAATACAATTGAATTATTCAAAATGTCTCCATCATATCAAACTCACTCTTTATAACAGTAGCAAATACAGATGCCTTCTGTTTAGAAGATCACTATATGGCAAAGACAAAAAGGTTTAACACATGCCTGGATGACTGGTTGAATGTTCTCCTTTTGGTTTGGGGACAGTTTAACCCCCCAAGATATCACAAACTAAGAGAGCCAGACATACCACATCTAAAGGGTGTGTTGGTCTACATATGAACTTACTTGGTTCAAATTTTGAGGTTTGTAGACTATGACCATTAGGCCAAGTTAGGTCAAACAAGATCAACTCTTGTGTTGTGTCCTAAGTGCCCCAGACCTTTTCACACAATCACTGTGAACCTAGATGCTTGTTGTAAGCAAAGGATCACTGGTGCTCATTCAGGCTCAGTGACTCTATTTGACCTTTTAAGGTCATGGGAACCAAAATCATACAAGACTGCCTTGATTTTTGCATTTAAGAATGCATCAAGGATGAGGCTAGCCAGTATGTTCCTAAAAAAAATTGATCTAGATCATTTTAGGTCAGTGGCCTATTCTGACCTTAAGTCTATGGAAGATATCCAATATGGGTTCTTGCTATCAAGAAATTCAAAATTAGCACCAGAAACTACCTTGTACAGTATGCTCAGGAGTAAGAATAGGTTTATTTTTACCTTGGTTTAATCTTTGTGCCTAACTCCAGGTGAATGGAATTTGTCAGTTCAGGTGCTTTATTGTCAAATAAGCTATATCAGTGATGTACGACTTCATCTAACACTGTTGTTGCTTTAGAGTTAATGGTTTGCTAGAAAATGTGTTTGCTGAATCCATTGCCTGACTTTGATATGCGGTAGGTTGGTGACTTTGTAAAGTGCTTCTAAATTTTTGTACTAAATGATCCATTATTCCATTGTCTATGTTATGAAAAATGAAGTGGGGCCATGCCACACCGTTTGGAAATATTTATGGGAAAACATTTGGGGGCAGTCAAATTAAACCCCCCAACCCAGCGGGTGTTAAGCTTGACTCAACATCTTGAAAGTCTTGCCTTGTGCATTATTAGCTCATAGCAGTGTGCTTGTGTGCATTATTAGCCCATAGCAGCAGCCATGCTGATATGTGTCCAGATGTAACAGTGCATGTTAGGTATACTTCCTTGGCTTCAGCTTAAGAAAGCAAAACATGCAGTATCATTTCTGTCAGCATTCATTAGTTGCCTCCTACCTTTGTTCCAGCTTTGCAAGCCCGCCATGGAGTACTGGCTGATATCAGCCCCTGGTGAAAAGACCTGCCAGCAGACCTGGGACTCACTTCAGAATGTCACTGCCAAGCAGGGTGACCTGTCAGCAAACTGGAAGTTTCATATTCCAGATTTGAAGGTAAATGATTTACAGAGCTATTCCTGTGTGCTAATATGAGATGAGGGATACAAGACTGACTGACTGAGACCTGGGCCACAACCCTGTCACATTTTACAGAGACCCTGTACTGGCGCTTGCTGGTGGAGGAGTGCAGACTGTCTTAATGCTGGGTGTAGGTTCACTATTGGCTCAAATTTAGCAGTTTTTGAACATGAACACCCCACTTGTTGTGCAAAAATTAATTCACTATGGAAAATTGTCAGTCACTTGTTGCCCTATTTTCAATGTACCAGCATTACAAGGAAAATTGTGAAGATGGCATATTATGTTTGGGTCCCATGAAAATTGGATGACTTTGGTTCAGATCTACTGGCTCCCTGTGTGTAATAAGATATTAGGAGCCTAAGCCAACACTGGAGGGAGATGAGCGTAGGGGTAGGGAGGGAAGCAGAGTACAGAGAGGGGGAAGAGAGCTCTGATAGCCTGGGACAAAAAGTGGATGGCTTCAGCTGTCAGGTACTCACAGGTAATGATCATCAGCAAACAGTTAACTGTTATCAGTTTTGTGGAATCAGGCCAGCCGACTGTTGGCAAGAGCGGTGTTGAGTTTGACTGTTCTCCTGGGTAGAGTATGCTGTCACGTGACTTGTGTGCTGTGTAGTGACTGGGTCAGTGTGTGACGCCCGGCAGGACCGTTTTGGTCGACCGTTTTTTCCTGGCTTTACACTCGAGTGTGTTCCAGGTTGGCACGCTGGACCTGTTGGTCGGTCTCTCTGAGGACCTGGGCAAGCTGGACACATATGTGGAACAGGTCATGAAGAAGGTGTCCAACTACCTGGGCGACGTTCTGGAGGACCAGCGAGACAAGCTGTCTGAGAACCTGCTTGCCAATGGAGGTTAGACGCTGTCCCCTCTGCACAGCAGCCGGAGCTGACCGGTAGCTAGGGTAGCATTGGCTCTGAACGCTTGTCTTTGGTGCGGACATTTAGGATGACCTTGGAAAGTTACAGCATGTCAGCATTCCATGACAGCATACATGCCATGGGCGTAACTGCCGTAGTGAGCCCATACTGTGGCGCACGGTGTGTTCAGGAGTCTGATCATTTCAAACTGGTCATTGACAAGCCGTAGGTTAACCATCTCTCTGCTGTACACTGTGTACAACAATTGTTCGACCGAGCCTGACACACCGATGGCTGTTTCGTGTGCTTCCACCAGTGGACCTGGCCACTTACATCACGCGTTTCCAATGGGATATGGCCAAGTATCCCACCAAGCAGTCGCTCAAGAACATCTCTGACATCATCAGCAAACAGGTGTCTCAGATTGAGGGCGATCTCAAGGTTAGGCCAACCATTACAACAACCTGAAGAGCAATCTGCAGAACATCGAGCGAAAGCAGACGTAAGCAGTGCTCCGTAAGCAAAACAATAATTGCAACTGAAAGGGTCAATGGAATTTAAAGGTTCTCACAGCTACGTTATGTAATGTTGGGGGCGTCCTTCACACAGGCGTTCACCAATTTTGCGCGGGCTCGGTCCAGTTGCTACTGCCATGAATAATACAGTGTCGCGCCCCATTGTTTATCATCGCACCAACTAATGAGCTGGCGGCGGGAGGCGTGTCCGCCGCGCTGACGCAGCCGTGATTTTCAGTGGCTCGCTGCTGACGAGGAACGTCGGCGATCTGGTCAAGAAGGAGCAGTTTGTGCACAGCTCGGAGTACCCTCACCACGCTGCTGGTGGTCGTGCCCAAGTACGTTGCCGCTCACCGGTCCGGCTGATGGCCGACGTCCTGTCCGCCCCGACGCGTGCCTCTCAGAGCTGCCGCCAGGGGCGCTGCTCGGTCGGTGTCGTGCTGTGCCGCTCTCCGCCTGCGGGCGGCTCGCGTCAGACCGGCGGGGCGTCTGTGCAGGCGGCGCGGCGCCCCGCTCTGTGAGCAGCGCTTTGAACGGTCGGTCCCTGCCGGCAGGATGTACTACCAGGACTGGCATAACAAGTACGAGCGGCTGACGGACATGATCGTGCCGCGCTCCACCCAGATGGTGTTCGAAGACAACGATCACGGCCTCTTTACCGTCTGCCTCTTCAAGAAGGTGGTGGACGAGTTCAAGCAGAAGGCCCGGGAGAACAGGTCGGCTGGGCTGCCCGGTCGCGATCGCGACTTTGTTTCCCACAAGACCATCCTTCAGGCTTTGCGTGGTGTGGGGGGACTGGCTGTCCCAGGCGGACTCTTTGTGGGCACGCTTTTGTCTCCAGTGTTTCTACTATTGCCATTTTTGCTTCGTGCCTGCTGCTCTCATAACACCTGTCTTCCCCGAAACTTAGCAGATCGAGTGTAACGTTCGTGTTGTCATGGAAAATAACCGAGTCACAAAACATCTTTACATGTTAAGTGATCCAGGAAATGGACAATGACAGACTTGACCTGTCATGTACAATCGTAACGACGGACGGTGTAATTGTGTCCATTTCTCGCATTTTTGGTGGTCTTATAGA